GTTTCAAATGTGACCCGATTCCAGCCAAATACAGCGACTAGAGGCGCGGTTTCCATGGCAACAATGTAAACAAAAAACCTAAATGAGTCATGATTTGGCCTCCGTTTTATCGGGACCTTACCAACGATATATCCAAGACACTAGATCTTTAGATGTAAGTTTTGATACATTTGATACAAATGGAGCCAAATAAAAAAAAATAGTTTATATGATAATTATGACAAATAAATATTGAAAATTACTATTTTGCTATGTCTAGTATCTTAGTAGGCGTTGTAATTTTGGGGAAGCACGTCCCCTTGTGCCCTCTGGTACCAGCCGCCCCTGTTATCTATACTTATATAATAAAGCTGAAGCTTTTGTTTATTTGAACACGCATATCTCAGAAACTACTGGTTCAAATTCAAAAAATCTTTTTGTGTTGGATAGTCCATGTATCATATCTACATATAGGCTATATAACATCACGCTACGAGCATTAGGAGCGAAGTAGCAATGAAAAATTCGGAAAAACGGGAAAATTATTCCTCCTTTGACAGCTTCCGTTGCTTACGCTGCTTAAACGGTTAAAGTTACGTAAAAATCATGTATGACGAAATTGTTCCCCTCTAAAAGTTCTAAAGAAAAGTCCGCGACAGCATATGTCTATCTTTTAAGGTCGAGTCAGTATAACCTTTTTTATGGTAATGAAATTTGTTCTAAAATAATAATGCATTATGTATAAAATTCTCGCGTCACAGTGTTTGTAACCGAACTTCTCCGAAATGGGTTGACCGATTTGTATGAAATTTTTTATATATATTCGGTAGGTCTGACAATAAGTTGTACTCTATTTTTTAAATCCCTAAGTGATAAGGGTGGCCCACCCTGAAAAATGTTTGTCTATTTTTTGGACAAAATTTTTTATTTTTATTTTTTTAAGATTTGGCATCAAAAAATACACATAACCCTAAATTTTTACCTTTCTACCACCAACCCCCATTTTTTAATCGTCTATAAAATAAAATTCAATTGCTGTTCCTGTTAGTCTCGCTAAGACTCAAAAACGGCTTGACCGATTTGAACATTTTTTTATATTACGGGGATGGCTTATAAATAAAAAAAATAAGGATAACTTAAAAGAACAGTTAAAAAATAAAACAATTCTAAAAATTTTGTATGGGAATCGCCACTTCAAATTAATTTCAATAGTTGGCGTTTCTAACGGACCTGTCGTCTAACTGACGTGTCATCACGTCTCATACAAAACTAATTCTTCCGTGCGATTGTGAAAAGTATATTGCATTTCAAATCGTTCTTTGTTTTTTCGTAAAAAAAAAACGTCGTTTATTTTAAGAAAAGTCTTGGTTAAAGTGAATTTAATTACACATTGCGAAAGTTTCTTATTCATTTTGATCTGCCATTCTTTTTACCTATATTCACTTTGTTGGTTTCGACAAAACCTCAAACTTTACCGTTATTCGAGGATTTAATTTGAAGTTTTCAATATTTAAAACTTCTCAAGACAAAATTTACAGATCTGATTGACTGTGAAAATAATTCTGTGTCGTTTTATGAAGTTCATTAAAATGCCGAGAAGACGACAAGCTCACATAGGTCCACGGAGTCCATCAAATGTGCGACGAACTACCTCAGGTGCAAACCGCAATGATTTATTTCATGGGTAATTCGGATATGGAAGTTGATCAGCGTTGTGCTCATAATCAACATAATCAAACATTGAAACGAGACATGGGGTGGTATGAATAAAACTGAGAAGATACTCATATTCGAAGTACGAAGTACCTACTTCATTATTACTCTTATATACCTGAGCATCTACCCTATGTACTAAGTACCTACTTGGAAACATTGTATCTCCCGGACACAAACTTAACATCTGCGCGTTTTGTGAGCATTTAATCTAGAAATGAGTATCGGCGTGGCAAATGACTGAGCTGTCTGTAAAGCAGCTTAGAAAACGAGTAGGATCGTTGTAAGAGTGAATTTTAACTAAACATGGTGACTTTCATGAATGTGGAATGTCGTCAAAAGGTGCATCCAGTTTGAAAAACACATTAGGAGCAGGAATATCGAAAACTTTTCATGTAATTAACTTTTATTTATGCATAAATTGTGCAGTGGGTTTTTTCTAACACTGGCCATAGAGATTCCCATTTCAAGGTGTCTACCCCATGCTAACTTATATTTTGGTAACTCGATTTTTGCTTTGATGGTTGAACACTGTCACTGTTGTCCTTTTTTGTTGTATCGAGATGCTACTTGAGCATCAACTGTTACTTACTGAAGTATTAGTATCATCTAGAAAAACTAAAAATATTTTGATTTGATATTCGAGTAGATACTTCGTATTTCGAGTATGAGCATCTACTGAGTTTTATTTATATCAACCATTGTCAAAAAATTGATCGAACGTTGTTTCGACAGAACTTCCTTCGCACCAAAAGTATAATGAAACCTATTCAGCATTTTCGAGTTGAGTCTTTTCTTCACACAATTTTGTGATGACCTTAATCAACATTTACTATCAACACGTATACCACCTTGGATTGGTGCAGTGTAATACTAAAAATAACTGTATTGTATTCCCAAAATTATCTGCGAAAATCGAGTGAGCCATTCCATCAATTTTTTGGGGGGAATAAATAAATATTATTAACAGTTTACCATGCTCACAATTACTTTAAAACGTCTGCAAGATCTCAAAATACTTATTCATTTTTGAAACTCTTGAGTTATTCACTAAAATAAATTGACTGATCCATATATTTTTTTGATTCACTGTAAAAGCAAATTTAAAAAATATGAATGCAATGATAAATTACGAAAATATACTGATGATGTTTTCCACATTTTAGATAGGATTTATTCGGCAAAATCTTGAGATAACGTCTTCAAGTTTTTGGGCTTGATAAACAGATATATTTTGATTGAAAATAACCTACCATGTCAAACAGTAACTTCAGAACGTCTACAAAATTTCAAAATTCAGTTTTGTAATTCTTGATTCAATCAATAAAATAAATTGACTCAGTGATTAATTTTCTTGAGACACCCCCTATAAGCAAAAGTAAAAAATATGAATGGAATGATAAGTCACAAGTATAGTTTCATCCTATTTTGGACATTTTAGATAGGATTCATTTGGCAAAATTTTGGGCTGACGTCATCAATTTTTTGGAGGGGATAAGTAAATATATTTTGAATAAAAATTTATTATGCTTATCATATGTTTAAAACATCTGTAAGATTTCAAAGCATTCGATTTTGCTGATTCAAAATTAAATTGTAGGTGAAACGAAGTTCACGGGGTCAGCTAGTAATTAATATACGGTAAGCTTATCGTGTTTCTTTCCAATACATTAGTTCTCTACATACATATATTAGGTTTCTATCTATCATACCCTATTTTCCGTGTGCAGATCACAGCCTCTCTTGATAACAAAATCTTTGGATCATATGGTATACTTAGGTATGTAGATAAGTATATCTATTATATATTATTATGCACATTGCGATCTTAGTTGTTAATAAAGTTTGATCTTCATTGTTAATAAAGTACGGCGTCTAGAATGAATCCATCATTTTTTTATAATGTACGCCGTTCAAAAGTTTATGAAGCATATATAAACGTTGTTTATAAAGTAGGTCATTTTTATACACTGTTAATGTAAATAAAAAAAAAATCTGGACCTTCAAGGTAAAAAATAAAAGCGGATTCATAAATCACAAGTACAGTCGCGGCCGTTGAACAGTGATTATACTTTGACATTACTGAAATTTTGGCTTTCTTGAACTACTCTGAAATTGAAATTTCTAAAATGTCATTTCAAATGTTGTTAAATAGCTGGCTACTTTCAAAAATAACTTTAATGGCTGGATATTTAACCGGATATTTTCCGACTTACTAACAAACACTAAATTTAAATAACATAAAATATAAGTTAAATTTTATTTGTAGCCAATCAGAAAAAAATTTCTGGTAGGATGCCTGCGTAGCCCATCTGACGCTTTCGTCTTCTCGACGCCGATGACAATTGACATTTGACAGGTTTGACAGATTATTAGATAAACATAACCAATAAAGTGACAATATTATTGTCATGCAGCTTATTTTGAAACGTAAATTACAAAGTCATTCAGTTAGTTTTTGAACGTTATTAGTGTTTGATTAGATTCCAGGTTAATTACTTTTAGAATTGAAAATGGTTTTTGGCGAAATTGTTGAACCATCAACACGAGCTTTAATCGACGATGAATTTGAAGAATATCCAACATATACCAAGTAAAGTATGACAAAATAACAACATTCTTAAAAATCAATTTAATATGGTTCCAGGCCACAATTAATCTGGGAAGGAAATGTTGGAGTGCCCTCTAATTTAAACACACTGATTTTTATCGAAGGCAACAAATTAATGAAACTTTTTAATGCATTGGTTTTAAACAGTGAGATGCTTTACAGCAGTTTGAACTCAGAAAATATTAACATTTATAATGCAACAAATAATACTTATATTGTTTCCTATGTGAAGAAAGATTTAACCACAGGAGAAGTAAGTAGAAAAAATAAGTGACGTAAAAAAAATAAACAATACTTTCAGATTATAGAGGAATTATCACAATGGTTGAGAAAAGCTAAAAATATCTATGCAGTGGTTTCAGAACCCATTTCTGCTTACCAGAATCTTAATTTATCCGAAAAACCAGAAACTTTAATCAGGAAACTATCAACAGACACGGCAGATACATTCAACTGTGAAAAATTGGAATCCCCAAATCTAGTGTCAGGATTAGGGGCAGGTGTGGTATCATACTGTATTCACTCAGGGCTAAAGTCCACATTATTTGTTGTGTATATGGACAACTCGCCCCTTGATTCCATTAATACAAGTCCTGTAGTACAATTAATGAAATCATTAAACTTGTCAGTAAAGGCTGCAGCATCAAATTTAAATCCAGCTGCTAGTAATCTATATTTATAAAAAATAAATAATGTGAAAAATGTTCTTTATTAAAATATTAAATAAATTAATTATAAATTAAAATCACGTCCATGTATATGTTTTGTTATCACTACTATACTTCAAACATTCAACGTTTGTAACACAAACGTCAGACTTGCAAAATTGTTCAAGAATTTGACTACTTAAACCACAATCTGATAAATTTTCCTTATCAAAAATAACGTTTCGTTTTGACGCGTCGTCATTATCACTTTTTCCTAGTACTTTGCTAAAAGGAAGTGTAGATGGTACACTGACAAATGTACCACTCATACTATGTGTCGGAGGGTTAATCGCAAACAAATTGTGAATGGTGTTTGGCAGTATTGGTCCTGCTATTTCAAGGGAATGATAATCCGAATTATCAACATGAATTTTACTTTCCCTGATTTTAAGAGATTTTAGTGTTGCTCCATTAAATGCAACTGGCGCTAAAAGAGTAGGAGGAACTCCAGCTAACGTCCCTGTCGTTGATGTAGCACTTTTACAGTTGATTAAAAAATTATAGAAAGAGTGGACTTCAACACCTTCTATTAAAACCAGACTTTGTTCACTGTTATCCACTTCACATTCAGTCTTGTGGACAATTTTTGCCTGTAAACAAATTCATTTTGTATTAATTTAACAAAAACATATAGTGTGTTTTACCTGAGTATAATTAATTTGTTTAATATCATCCGCGTTAACCCCCATACTCTGAAGCCACTGCTCATCTGGAGACTCCTCTTCATCAAAAGCGCTATCCCCCGCTGATTCCCCCACTCCTGAATCTAATGTTTCATACCCCTGATCAGAATTTCTTTTTTTCTTCAAAGGCATAGTGAACTCAATTTCTTCTTGTTTAAGCATATATCGAAAACCTCTAGTTGTTGGCGTAATTAATACATGAACATCAGCCATGCCACAGATTCCAGCTGCCCGAAACAACACGGTAAAATTATTAGAACACACATAAAAATACGGACACTGTTTTGTCCTCAAAAGCTGAAACAGTGATCGCAAACTGTCTTTCCAAGCGTCCTGCATACTAGCTTTGACTGTTGGATTAGTAATTAAGCTCCCATCTGACTCCGAAACCTTCCCAGAAGTTCGCGGAAATAACGAAAGCCATGGCAGTGAGGGCTGCTGCCAGTACTGGCAACACTGATGAAACTTTGAATTCGGTGATGTGTCTAAATTTGTAGCAGAGCTTTGGCCTAAACATCTTACAAATCCGGTTGTACCTGATGCTTCTTCATTTATTTTTAGCTTCGAACTCCACGAAAACGGCAAATCTGACCATAATCGTATTTTCGTTTTGAGCGACCAATCCATTGGGATGTTCGTTTCGCCTTTGGCTTTAACCACAAGCACTTCGTCATCATTGTCTTTGTTTAAAATATTTTCAAAAGATGTTACCGTTGTTTTAGCGTATGATGTACTTGGGGCGCTTTGATGAAGAAGTTTGAAGAGAGTCTGATCTGAAGATTCTTCTAGAATAGGAGGCACGTTTTGTTTGTACTTTTTGGTATCATCAACTTTAATAAATGGGTTTTTTCGTTTCTTCGCTGCAATTATGTCTTCTAGGGCTGTGTTTTTGTCAGTTTGTGAATTTGTGGCTGATTTCTTTAACAGACTGCCGGACATTCGCGCTTGAAGAGCCTTCTTTTTCATTTTGAGTTTGTGTAATTTCATTACTTCTGATGGGTGGTGCCATTTTGGAGCTTCTTTTTTGGGGCTATCTGGCATTTTTGAATATTACAACTGCACTGTGTAACTGTGTTTACGCGAATGACGTCAAAAATACAACAAACAAACTACGACCAGCTGGCTGGCCACCACCTATCGTTGTCAATGTCAACTGTCATATTTCAGAACTACCAACATTATAGTAGGAAAATATCTATGGCTGTCAATCAGTGGCGGCACAAGTCGTATTTTCAAAGCACGTTTTCATTATTTTCTTCATTTATTCAATTTTTAATTAAAACGCATATTTAGGTATGTAACAAATGTTTTATTATTTGTAACAACTTTATGCAATGTAAATAAATGTATTAATATCATCGTCATCTCTTTTCATATACTTGTGTTCAATCAGCCACTCTAATTGTTCCTTGATCATTTTCTTAGAAGGAAGAAACATGTTTTTCAAAATGTCCACCAACTCAGTTTGCAAAGAGGCGTTCGATATTCTCTTCCTCATTTTCAAGATCTTAATAATAGCTTCTTGAGTCCTGAGTATTCTGAGTTGTACAATGGACTGATTATCTTCCATCTGTGACCTTTCTGTACTCAATTGTAAACGTCCAATCAAATTAACCTACAATGAAACCGTGTAATCATAATTTTGATTTGTTTGGAAAAACTACCTTTCCTCGCTTTTGTGGTTTTGCGTTTTTAATAAGTGCAAAATCCTGATTCACCCAGAAGACTGTATGTTCTGTAAAATCTTTTGGTGCGCTGACACTTGGTGACATCAACAACAGTTGTCTTTTCAATTTGGGGAAAGCGACTAGCGACCATAAAGTTCGTCTTAGTTCACCATCTGGAAGTTCGGTTGCTAGTCGCAGATTTTCGTATGTAATCTTGTCATGTGGTCGTTGATTCCATGCAAACAGCACAGCCATTTGAAAAGTAGTTACATCTAAATCGAATTTCCCGCCATTGGTAGCAAATGTGATTGTGCCATTACTCATGTGATGGTACCTAAAGTTCGCTTTTAAAGTTTTTATTGCACAATAAAGACCATATTTACCATTGTAATTTTCTTCCTGAGTGTTTCTTCTTGTAAAATTCTTCTACTTCTGGGATGTAGTCCTCAAGTTCAACCGGCAAACTGACAGTGACACGCTCTGAACCTCGCGCCCAAGCACCAGCATTCAATATTTTAATATTAATTGCATCATGTCTAGCAGTGGAAGCTCTAAATTGTCCATTCAAATCTTCACTAACTTTAATATCTTGAAACATTCGCGCTAATTTGTTTACATAGTCTGCAGGCATACCAACTTCGCGCAACCACTCCACCATATCTTCTTCTTTTTCACTATCCGCGCTGTAAAATAACAAAATTCGTAAAATGATGTAAACATACGTGGAAATATTACCTCGCATCTAAAATTAATCTTCTCGTTAAATGGGCCTTATGATAACGCATAAAAACATCCTTATTCGATATATACTTAAGCACTAGCAAAACATCCTTGAGCCTTGTTTCGATTTCTTCACTTGTAAGACGCTTAGATAAAGGCGTTCGTCTTAACAACATATCGCAATAATTCGCTAAGAGCTCTGGGCATTTACTTTCAGGAGCCACGACTTTCCCACCCGCGTTCCTTCCAGTGTTCAATTCTAACCTAAACACCGTGGTATCGTTGACGACAGCTTTAAATGCTTTATCCCTTGCGGTTAAAAATCGAGGATCATCAGAAAATGCATCATGAACTAGTTTACTGAATTTCCTAAACAATTCTAGAAGTCTTTCCACATATTTCTCTGAATCCTGTGTAATTATATCCGCGGCTGCAACCATATCGGCTAAACCAGCTTGAATAATGTGATTTTCTAGTTCAGTCAACATCGGTTGCACTCCTTCTGGAACTCTCTCCAGCAATCGAAACATTAACTGAAGCCTTTCGGTTTCTCCGGCTTTAATTAACGGTGCACACTCCGCCAGAAGAACGGAAAGCGTATTACTGACTAAAACTTTAACACAGCATTGGATAACTCCATTACTTCCAGCTTCAAGGTAACGTTGAGCGCGTGCTTCTTCTTCCCTTAACTTACTGTCCGCATAGCGCATATAAGATTGAACACCATTACTTTCCAATTGTTCGGGGGCTTTCAGTCTGTAGAACATCTCTGTGCTTTGGATGTACGCCGCTTCGAAGTTTTCTCTGTATATTTGTAATCTGTTATATGTATTAGAGCACAGGTTGACATATGATTCTCTAACACCTTGAAATAAAATAAATAAATAAATAGTAACGGTGGTATCACTGGTTGTATGTTTTTACCTATTACAAGTTGAGCGTCAAATGCTTCTCCATTTCTCTCGGCATGCACGAGCTTCATGGCACTATCTTGAAGTCGATGTTTGATGTCCTTAAAAATGCTCTCATTCCAAGAGTCAAGCATTAACTTCCTGACTATGCTTTCATCAGTGGCTCCCTTTTTCCCACTCCCACTTTGTACATTAGCTGTTCCTGATGTTTTTCCTTGTAAAGAAGTCTCTAATTGTCTAAATGGTGTAGGTAAATAGTTGCATTGTGTAAAAAACTTTTGCCACTCTGCTATGTACGCCTTTAACAAAGCTTCATCTTGCCTTTGGGCTAGCACACGTGCTTGGGCTTGTTTAATAAACTGTACAATGTCTTCCTGTAGGTGATCCCTTAGTTTCGCAGGACCTTTTTCATCCCACAGGCAGACTAAATGTACATCATAAAATAACTCTTGCCATTCTGCTGGAGATACGGGCTCTTGCTTTAACAGTTTCAAAACAATGGGGCGCATCAGAGGCCATTTGTCTTCAAATTTTAATTGGCCCTTTCCCTATAAACACAAGTATTGTTAACTAGTACGTCTTCACCTGAGTTTTCCTGTTACCTTAAGCATTTTAGAGGTTACGATTGGCATTTGAAATAATTCGTCGAAATAACTGATATGTATTTACATTGAATTAAATTGTCGATCAGGGCCCTTCAGCTCAGCGGGTTTTGTCATGTCCACAGAACACCCCAAATCACGGTTGTAGAATTGATGGGTTGCGTATCTTTCATCCATTCACGTTCCGGTAAATGGAATAATGTTACCTACGCATCAGTTGGCCATGTAAATAGTGTTCACTGGGAGCCCTCTCGTGACATCTAGAGTCACTAAAACTTGTTCTATGAAAAGAAAACACTAGTACATAGCCATACCGATACCGACAGAAATTATGGACAGAAATAACAACTTTGATGTTTATCGTGGTTTAATCATTGTAAACGGTATGGATATCAACCCAAACATCTCGTCAAATTTAAGGTTTGTGCACAATGGAGACGCGAAAAGTGTAGTGTAGAAAACTGTGGTAAATAATTTACAGGTTACGTTTATTGGAAAATCACAATGAAAAGGTGGAATGAGAAGTACGCATGCGTGTTATTTATGTCTAATTTTGACGTTTGTGGTTTGTGGATGTACAGTCGGTGGACATAAAACTGGTACAAACTGTCATAAAAATTATGAGGAAAATGAAAAATTTATCTTGTGTAAATCTGTCTTCAGTTTCCGTCATAACTTCTTGGACATGATATATCCGCCAATATCAAAAAGTCAGTGTAGTGCAAGCGTAACTATCACTGACAGACGTTTTTTCTTAAAGTCATTGTGATAACTCAAACATCCCGCCTTAAATCGACATATGAAATAAATTGAAAAGCCCGCGAAAAATTTAAAAATTCAAAAATTGGCCTTGGCTGTCATCGTCTAACAAAATGGAACCCTACATTGTGTTTTTGAAAAATGGCGGGATGCGTTCAGATGCAAGTGGTGGACCCCAAGGTTGGAAAAGTACCGCCAAATAAAATGCCAAATACATGGAGAACACAAAATTATTTATTCCTCCACTGACAAAAAAAAAAGAAAAAAAGGAGTGGGTCGACCCAGGGACGCACAGATGGAGTTTTAACTCTGCGTTGTCAGTTTATATAAATTAAACACGTATACGCGGAAAAGTAATTCATTTTCTCTTAAAAAATAATAAAAACCAAAAATATGTTGCATTTGTATTTTTTGACAAAATGATCATGATTGGGTTAATTAAAGTAAATATCCATGTATTGTCAATTGTTGTTTATTATAAAATATACTTTGTATCATGGACCCCTCAATCACGCCCACGCTACTCTCGCGTTCCCACTCCACTCGGTTCAACCTTACTACCGCTGCGACCAGAAGGCGCTGCTCGTCAACCCCTATGCACACTAATCGCCACACCCCAATACACCTGGATGCAAAAGTAATTCGTCAAGCAACTTATCCACTCAGACTTAGTTCAGAGAGTTATATGTGTATCACTTCTTCATCCTGAGGGTCCTTGTGGTCTAGAAAGTCTTTGAATTCTGGCAGTGGGTGTCGGTTGTGTTCTCTTAGAGCATCCTGGGGGTCCTAAGAGATGGAATCAGCACCACTCTCTGAGGCGTTTCATGTACATATTGTTTGAAATATATTGTAATCTATGTAAAATGGAAATAAAAGTCATTTTGAGGAATTCTGTTGTTATAACTTTTAGTCAGTTCAAACCGGTGAAGGTGTCGGTGTCGGTGTCGAAGTCGAATTTGACATCCTATCTCGGCGCGCGTCGTATACGTGTTCTATAATACGAAAAGAAAGGAGTTAAAACTCCAAAAAAGCTGCCACTAAGTTGTGCCCGTTGAAGACACCACTTAATTCTCAGCTGAATGAAATAAAATTAAACGTTCTGAATCAATACAAATATTTGAATATCACAAATTTAATAAAAACAGCAAAATCTGGAGTAAAGGATGCAAATACTTATTATATATAATACTTACGCATGTGGCGGCAAACTTAAACTATGGCAGTTAACAAGAGCAAGCAATTTTAACAAAAAAACTATGCAGCGGCAGCGGCACCAAAGCGCTATAAGAGTATGGCGATCGAACCAGATCAATTTCAGTCTTGAGCACAGCAAAATACCCATAGTACCATGAAGTACCAGCGGAGTTTGGGGCTCCCGGTCGCGGCTGTCCTTCCATGACGGTGATTCTATTCTATCGACAAGCACTGCCGCCCAGCACCCCTCTATCGAACCAAGAAACGTGCCGCGCTACCCAGGCTGTTACAGTCGCAAACTCGTGGTTGGAAGTCATAGCTATAACTAAGCTGACAGCGTCACGTCGTCCCGACCGTCCCTGACTCCTATTCAAAACCTGCATCTTTGGTGCATATGGCTCAACCGCCAGCTCGACAAGGAACCGCGCACTCCGCTTCCGCTACGTGTTTCTGTGTTATTTAACCTCAATTCCATTTAAATGTTCAATTTCTATAACTCTGACATTAAACTATAATTGAACAAGCCTTAAAGTTTCAAAAGGAGCAATAAACAACATTTAAATTCGCCATACACTCTTGTGAAACTTTAAACAGCAAATAATTCTTATTTGAGATTAAAATTAGACACCAGATAATCAACAAAATATTTACAAAACAAAAAACTAGCAAAAATTTATAAAAACAAGAAAAGATCTGGTGTGAAATAAAACTTGTGTAGACAAAACTAACAAAATTACGTAAGGATATATTTTATGTCCATTCGAGTTATTGGTTAATTTTTAAAAGGTGAAGTTATTCAGTTGCGCTGTGGGCCATCGTTTTACATTCCCCCAAGCAAACACATAAACAAAAACATAGCAGACAATCTGGAGGTTCAAAATGGCGTCGGACGAATGCGTCGTTCAAAAAAATATGCATTAAAAATATTTATGTCTCCCAGAAATGTAATCAATTCTGTGGCGCTGTGCAAATAATGGTCTAAATCAAAGGAATAAAATGCACGTCTCCCACATGACCCACAATGTTGTTAATTTGTTCAATGAGATTTTACAGTTCAGCTCGGTTTGAAAATACTCTTTCAATATGGCCGCTCTCAGAACAAGGAATTTACCTGATGTTAAATTATGCCACTCTTTATCAACGATTCAAACAAAAAATTTACATTATGTTAAATTATGCCACACTTTATCAACGATTCAAACAAAGAGTTTACATTATGTTAAATTATACCACACTTTATCAACGATTGAAACAAAGAACTTACATTATGTTAAATGATGCCTTAATACAAGTGACTGGTTACTTAAGACCATCAGCTTTGAGAGTTTATATCGTGGACTGTCTCCAGGTTATCCCAAACAAAGCACATGATGAATAAACAACACAAAATGTATCAGGCATTGCGAGGTATATGCGCCTCGGTGGTGTAATTTACATAAATAAAATGTCTCGGTGATGTGACGATGATAACGATGATAACTGCCTGCAAGGAAAACAATATAATCCCTCGTACCTCAGTCCACAATATTTCACGGTATTTTCCCAGAGTGGGGCAACGTTAGACTGATTTAACTGCCGTTAATGAACTATTAGGGATCTTGTGGGAAGAATTAAGTAGTGTTATAATGTAACACTTAAGTATAAGCATACAGAAACTTATTCATAATTAGACAAACAAAATCAACGAGTTCTGAGTTAAGCGAATTTCATGAAAACTCCTGCAAATGCTTATCTAAACAAATTCCTGATTATTAAATTGTGTTAGAACTAACTAACGCTTAAACTCCTAACATCAACTGCGAATTTAAAACAATAAAACAAATTTACATACGTGTTAGCGTCGGTCGAAAATCCGCATATTTCCACTTAGAAAGCCACAAAAATTAGCTACGCGTGTTGGGAAACTGTGGTGTCATCGTCGTTACGATTAATTTTCGTTAAACAAAGGCTCCCCCCTTTTTATTAACTACCAAACCAACTAAACTTAACCTAGCTAACTCACCACGTGGTTACACTCACAACAAACACACCAAGAGTGATGGACCGCCCCCGAACAGAATGACTCATATATCAAGCCTCTAACTAAAATTCCAAGCAGAACTACCCACTACCCAAAAAGTGCTAACGTGCACATGGTTGCCTATGTTTAGCGATTTTCTTGATTGATTTTTTTTTCAAATTCAAATTATTCAAATTCGATTTCGCGCTGCTGTTAATTTTTTTCAGTGCGAAATTTTAATTCAAATTCGGTCACCACATCATCGTATTTGAAATGCCATCTGTAAGCTGTAAAATCAGAATACCTAATATTGCTGCTACAAAGTGGTATGCCTTATTGGTAAATTGTAACGGTCTTATTAAGGTGTTTTCCTGATAACATTGATAAGTTGCCACATTTTGTGAGGACTTGTCAGATCAAAATGAAAAATAAGGTTAGTAAGTACTAAAGGTCGGTTTAAAATTTGTGATAAGTGGTTGACACTGATGTTCAAGAAGTTATGACAGGAACTGTATTTTTACCGCACAGTGTTCTATTAATTGGTTCAATGCCTTACTTGTTATTCTTACCTTAAAAATTTTGCGTTTGTCTTTTGTTGCACGTGTTTATGCAGTATTCGAAGCTTTATACATATCAGATTAGAAAATCACCAATAAATTGATCTTACGCGAATTATACATACAAGATCGCTAAAAAATATGGAAGCAGTTGAATATAGCGAGAGCATTTTTTGGCCTTGCGGTTCTTTGACGATTTCTATCATTACCAGTGTCATAACCCAAACTTCCCGCCTTTAAATTGACCTTGAAAAAGTTTGAAAGGACCGCGAAAAATTCAAAAATTCAAAATTTGGCCTTGGCGGTGATCGTCTAACAAAATGGGAACCTACGTTGTGTTTTTTTTTTTAATGGCGGGAAGACGTTCTTTCATACAAGTGAGCATATACTGCGTGTGAGTCGAGAGCGTAAGAAATAATAGACAAAATTTGGGAGGGACTAAAATGGCACCCTTCCTTAGGAGGAAAAGAAGCGAAGAGTGAAAGTGACTCGGACGTGCCCTTCTGGCGGCCCAGCAGGGCCAAGTCGCCATCGTCCTTCATCTCCAAAAACCCTCTAGGGCTATATTCACAGACATATTACATTTCAAACACCTTAAAAATATGAAAGAAAAAACACTCGCGAATTGACGGGCATACACCTATGAAAAACGAACAACCACAAAATCCTATACATCTGTTTGGAATCAATGCAAATATTTGAATACCACAAATTTAATAATACAAAGCAAAATCTGAATTAAAGCAACTGGATGTAAATACACAAGTTATTACGGGCGTGTGGCGGCAGATTTTAAAGTTACGGCAGTTAACAGGAGCACAAAAAAAGTACCCCTGGGGCAATCTAGCACAAGCGGAGTTTGGGGCTACCGGTCGGGGCTGTTCTCCCCCCTCGACGGTGATTCTATCTATCGCAAGCCTACCCATACAGCACATTACACATCTCTAGGACGAGCATGCTGTGCGAAACTAGGCCGTTACGATCGCAGATCCGCAGTTGGATTTCAACTATTGGGCCAAATCGAGAGAACTACAACATCGTAACCGCCCCTGAATCTATCCAAACCTGTACCCTTTGTGCAGGCGACGCGATAAGATCTCGCCAGCTCGACTAGAAATAGCACTTCGCTTCTGCCACGTTTTCTGTGTTATTTAACCTCAATTCCATTTCAAATGTTCAATTCTTTATAACTCTGATATTAACAACAATTGCACAAGTGTTAAAGTTTCAAAGAGCAATAAATAACATTTAAGTTCGTCATACACTCTTCTGAAATTTTAAACAACAAATAATTCTTATGTGAGATAAAAATTGGACATTAAATAATTTATACGATGGAAACATTCATCAACCAAATATGTACAAAACAAAAACTAACAAAGATTTATGAAAAACAAAAGATCTGGTGTGAAATAAACTTGTGCCAATCGAAATATTATGTGAGGTTAAAACTGTAGAGCATGAAATCTACGTTGAGAGGACAAGCCTGGATGATGTAGTCAATCTTTAGCGTTGTGAGAGCATACCTCAGTGATGTAGTCAATCTTTAGCGTTGTGAGGACATGCCTCACTGATGTGATCATGATAACGATGATAACCGCCTAAGGGAAGAAATTATTTTAACCTCCCGCCAGTTCGCAGTATGAATTTTGTTAATTTAACTGCCGTAAATGAACTATTAGCAATCTTGTGTGTAGAATTAAGAAGTGTTATAATGTAACACTTACTACGTATATGCATCCAGAAACTTATTTATAATTAAACAACAAAGGTGTTATCTTGACTAAGTGAATTTCATGAGATCTTTTATCAAGTGGTTTATTTAAATATTCCCGATTGTTAAATTGTGTTAGTACTAGCTGACGATTAAGAAAAACTAACTTGATTGCTGAATTTACAAACAATAAAACAAATTTACAACACGTGTTCCTCGTTGAACGAAAGTCCGCACTTTTTCCGATTAAAAGACCGCAAAAATTAGCCGCGCGGGTTGGGGAAAACTGGGTCCTCATAGAAGTTACGATTGATTGTCGTTAAACAAAGGCTTCCTCCCTTTTATTAACTACAAAATCAACTAATTTAAACTAGCTCTTACCACGTGTTTACATTCACCAAAAAAACACATTCAGACTGACGCTCCGCCATGCCGCCCTTTGGCTAACCACCAACCCTGTAACTAAAATCCCTAGCGCTATTAATTGTCCAACTATCCATCAATCGTTACCGTGCACCTGGTTGCCGATGTTTAACATTTTTTTATGCATTTTTTTTCTTTCTCAAATTCAAATTATTCAAATGTGATTTCACGCCGCTGTTAATTAATTTCAGCGCGAAAATTTTGATTTAAATTCGGTCATCACAACATAAAGGATTAATTTTAGTTCTAAAATGTTAAAACTCATCACTGTTAAAACTAAATAAGCATTTTTTGCACTCAAAATTTACCCTAAAAATATGTGTTGTGTTTTACATATCAAAAAAAAAAAATTGTTAAAAAATATGTAGCACTAATAAGTACCTACAAAACACGAAAAAAGTTTAAAACAACTTGGATTTATTTGAATAATTATTTTTAAAAATTCAACTGAGGCCATCTGTTGAAAATTTGTGAAAAAGAAACCTACTATCCCACCCAAGTTGTCAACGTCGCCACCATTTATCTTTATTTATTACATTGTCAATGACAGCTGAGCTGACAAGTCTAGATTGGAATTTCTGGTGACAACGTAATAATTATTATTGATTTTAAATAAAATTTAAGAATATATCATGAGTCATCCCAGCATTTTTGATCATTAAAAATGCTTAACTTCAACTTGACCATTTTGACATTTATAAACAATTCAATACCAACATCATGAAACGACATTTCATGTATCGACCGTCAACCAAAATCCCTAGTAAAATCGAAAAATCCCTGTTTCGTGTCAGAAGGGGCTCCGGTTTGCTCCCCTTTACCCATTTTATCATCTCCAACTACTAAAAAAAACACAACCACCCAAAGATATGGCATGCAATAAACTGTCGATGGTGGTATGTACTTTCTAATTTTTTTACTTAATTATACATCCACGTTTCTCCAATTTTGTTACATAACTAACATTGTAACTCCCCAGGTGCGTTCCTTCAGCACCAGCAACATCGCCAATCAGCTCGTCAAGCCCCCAGTTCAAGTATTCGGCATTGACGGCCGTTACGCCACTGCCTTGTACTCCGCTGCCGTGAAACAGAAGACTCTCGACGCTGTAGAAAGAGACCTCAAAAAAGTCCAAGATGCCATCAAAACCGACGTCAAATTCAACGAGTTCGTCAGAAACCCGACAATTAAACGTAGTTTAAAATCAGATGCTTTGAAGGCGGTTGCTTCAAAGATCTCTCTGAATCCACAAACCAGCAATTTGTTGCAGACTCTTGCTGAAAATGGACGTCTGAAGAATATCAATGGGGTCATCAATGCGTTTAAAATACTCATGGCAGCGCATCGTGGAGAGGTAATGTTGTGTTGACTGTATTATGTAAGATGAAAATGGTTTTGTAGGTAACGTGTGAAGTTGTTACTGCCCGGGATTTAGATGCAGCCCAGAAACAAAAATTGGAAGGGGTTTTAAAATCGTTTGTTAAGTCAAATGAAACTATTCATTTGACCAGTAAGGTTGATCCTTCCATCATTGGGGGTATGATTGTCAGCATTGGTGATAGATATGTGGACATGAGTGTCGCCAGCAAAATTAAGAAATACACAGAGATCATCAGCACTCCTGTTTAAAGGTTTATGAGTTATAATAGAAGTTGCATAGTTGCCCAATAAAACACTTTCTCCAGTTGATTTTTTATTTTCAGTAGCAGCGTTATTTGTAATTGTAGTATTACTCTTGCAAGTTTTCATTATTTTTCCAGTCCCCAGTCCTGATTGATTCTTTAATGGACTCTAATCTTGTAGGTTAAATAATAAACTTCAATTCATTCATATATTTGTATTTAAGTTTTAAAGAAACCTATGTAACACCAAACGTAAATAAATACCAATACGTTAATCTATTATAACCTGTTAGAAAAGTATAGGTCCAATAAAAATAAAAAACGCCTAGACGGAAAACACAACTGGTGTTTAATTGTTAGAGGGTTCGATGGTTTCTCCTCCACGAATCTGCCCCCACCCAATCAGACGCCAATGTTTTTCCACACGTCTGCTGAGTGCGATTTTTTCGCCGACTTCGGTACAAACAGGATTAGTAAGAGCGATTTTGACTAAATCGGCTTTGGTAGCAACGACACGTCCTCCAGTACTCAAAGACCCGATATTAACCAGCAATACCTCACTTTTTGACAGTTTCTGGACTTTAGCACCCTTTTTATCGCCTTCAGTGCGGACACCAAGTAGTCGTTTAAGCAGATAGTAGCTCACCTACAAAAAATAAAAAATAGTAAGAAACGCCTAAAGCGTCATGATTAGTACCTCAAGTTCAATGAAAATGCTAGGCAATGCTCCCACAGCTCCCAACACTTGTCCAACTAAACGGTCCGCGCGACACAGAGTCGGTTCGATTTTCGTGCCCACACCAATCAAACCTCCAGGAACAGCAAATTGTAATTCGTTTTGTTCAGTGTAGAGAGAGACGATTCTTGAGAAAATAGGGCGACAGGTGAGCTTGCCTTCAGAGTCTTTGCTTACCAAGCCGGGCCTCACCTAATAATAAGTTTGAGTTTGGTTGAATTATGTTATAAATTATTTGGAAGGATACCTCTATTTCTTGTCCTACTTTCAAGACCCCTCTCAATATGCTACCACCGGCGACACCACCTTTGAGATCGTTGACTTCGCATCCTGGCTTATTCACATCAAAAGAACGGATAACGATAAGATGAGGTTGAGATGTAAAATCTCTGACAGGAACAGGAATTTTCTTGGTAATATATTCGCACAATACCTAAAATTAATTAATTTAAAGAACTGTAAATCCATTAAAATAATAATATATACCTCTATATTATACTTCAACTGAGCCGAAATCGGTATAATCGGAGCCCCCTCGGCCACGGTTCCTTGCACAAACTTGACAATCTGCTCGTGCTGCTCTTTAGCTTGCCCTTCTTTAACCAAGTCTATCTTATTCTGTAAAATTATGATGTGTTTCAGCTTCATAATTTCGATTGCGGCTAAATGTTCACTAGTCTGAGGTTGAGGACACGATTCGTTTCCTGTAATATTGACAAAATTTAGTTTCGATTCCGATTCAGAAAATTTTAAGTTTACTTACCGGCGATGAGAAGCAGCGCTGCGTCCATGACAGCGGCTCCGTTAAGCATGGTGGCCATAAGAATGTCGTGACCAGGACAATCCACGAAACTTACATGACGAACCAACTGGAATCTACCAGTACAGGCAGGGCGTAAACATGGGAAATTGTCGTCTTTCGATGACGCTCCAGAGATGTAACAAGCAGGTCGGGGACATTTTGGGTTGTCGCACTTGTAGATTTTCGCATTCGCATAGCCTTTAACGAAAAATATAATGACATGAGAAGTTGTCGTAGAATGGTAGGTCCACAGAAATTCAGTCCATTTGCTAGACTCATAATTTTTTTGTTTGTTTTTTGTAATGTATACAGGTAATTTTTATTGTCAAAACAAGTACAGGAGTATGTTATTTTGAAAATTTAAATAGCATTTACCATGGAACATATTCCCAACATACGTATATATCTATACTATTTGATGACAATAGGTCCGGTAGTTTCGGAGATTGTGTCTAAAAAATTGACACATACGACAAACGGGCGGAACTAGGAGACTTATTTTTTCACACTCTAGAGGTCATGAAACGTCGAGAAAACTAGAACGTACCCATTCGCCAGATGGACTCTACTACAATACTTCCTTAATATTTAGCGTAAGCTTGGGAACTAATAATATAAAGCGTCAACGCATTTTTTAATGTAAACATTTTTGTTTCGCATTTAAATGTGTGGTCATATCAATCTTTTCTATGATTCAACATATAGTAAAAGTTTCAGTATTTTAGTTAAATACAGAATAGCGTTAAAGTTACATACTAACTTTAGAGGTAAAGATAATACTAATAACAGAAAGGTAAAATTAGCTCTTACTACATAACACAAGTGTCATTTTTCACTAAACAGTTTGTACCAGTTGTTATGGTGACGATATGGCCGTAGATTTTTTTGCAGAAACCACATGACTGTTTTAACATCATCATCTAATTTTGGGATATTTATAGTTTTTACAAAAAGTCTATTCGTATTACCATTTGTTTTATAATTATAATAAGTCATTCTGTTTCGACACTTAAATGTAGTGGCTAATTAAGCTTCAAAATTTTGACAAATCAATTTGACATGATATGGCAACATAAAATTTTAAATACGTTGCCAACCTGACAAAAACTCACAAACATTAATAGTAAGTCGATATTTAAAGTTTAAGAACTTGTCATCTCCAAAGTAATGGATATAAATTTCTGATAATTTAATATCCATTAAAAATAATTATAAAATAATCATTATGGCCTCCGACTACGTGTATTTTGGCCATAAAAAGAAACACGGGTTGCATTTAAAAACGCTTTGAACATTGTAGATGATCATATTACAATCTTGTAGGTTTCTTTACATAAGAACAGGAGAAATGAATTATTATTGAGTGACATAGTGCATTAGGAGTATAAGAAATGCCATGTATTCAACAAATTAAAGCACCCTAGTGGGAATGGTTACAATATGACAAAGTTATTTATGAGTACACAGAATCCATCACACTTATTGTTTATTTAACCATAAAGTTAATACAATCCGGGTTTTATCTTCTTCCATTAGTCGCAATGTTATTACGTTGTTTCGTAGATGCTCAATAGGTGGTCCCAAATAAAAAAAAGTTATTCCAAATCTTAGATATTTTTGCTCCATTTTTATTACATTCGTTACAATCATTACCACCTAAATCCTCACTTTTCTTTCGTCATGTTGATCAAACAATTTTAAAAGCTTGATGCCAAAGTGTAGACGACTTTCAATCCCAGACTGGAAAAATTTTGGTAACTATTTGGTGACTTGAATTAGCCAATCAAACGTGCCTTCATTGGTTTATCTTGTTGGTTTTATCTATAATATTGATGCAGAGGGAGTTGTATTTGAATTTAATTTTTTTCTCCATTTTTTTATAAGATTAGTTTACTGACCACACAACTACAACATAACATATCGCGAAGAAGTGTTAATTCACAACAGCTTGAAACAACAATTCATTCAATCCAACGGGGAATTTTGTGAAAAAGTGGATGACATTTTGCTTATATTCGACACAAGTAAATTTCGATACACTCGACTAGTGCTTGCGCGATTAACAAGTAGCGACTTCTGTTCCTCGTTGTGTCTGGCTATTGGTGAGTTAGTTCCGGCTATTTATTTATTGGAGAATTACCATAGCTACTACTAAAAAGAGAGGCCCATTTGCCTCTCCCCTCGAAGAATGCCATTTCTTTAGATAAATATAATTTACGAAGAAAGTTTTTGGCTTTTAAAATGACAAAGTGTTATCGTCTGTATTTCTTTACCAACCGATCGATAAACCGTACCTTCTTTTTGTGAGGCGAGCAATCGAGGCTTTTTGCTACGCTCGCCTCAGTGGCGGCGTAAAGTGGCGGTCCGCCTAGAGTACCAAGCACTAAGGGGTAGCAACGACAACTCACTCGTACAGCTAGAGAATACTTACAGAAGAATCATTCTGCAAAAATATACAAAAAAAGGAATGGCAGACAGACAGAGAGACAACCGGAAACGGAAGACCTATTTCTTCGTACTCTAGGGGTCATGAAAGGTCGAGAAAATGTAAAAGTAGAAAGTCGGTCGACGGAGTAAAAATAATGTCTTGATAGATTTTACGTTACAGAGCAATGAATGATATTCTCGTAATATTTATAGTGTTGTTCAACCTAAAGGTCGATTTATAAATTTGACGTTGCCGTTGTAAGATAAATACGCAGCGAAGGTATGCGTCGTTTACATCATCCGTTGCCGTTGAAAATTGGCACGCCGTGGGGTGACGTTCAAGATGACCAACTGTCAACTTTCGAAGTTACGTTGCCTTTAACGTTGGGTTTTTAACCAATCAAATTGCGGTAGTGCTGTCAAGTTGAAGGAAAATTATTTGAAGTAGGGGTGACATTTTTCTTGCTAACAGCACTAATTCTACGAAAATCAAATTTTGATAGAGATAATGAGGTCCACTAATATTAAGCCATTTAATCACCCGTTCAGCAAAACCCTCATATGTTAAATAGCTGCCATCATTTGCTACACTGTAGCTTTCTGTCAGTACTTATGCACTGTTAAAGATAGATAGATTGCTATTCGTCTCAAAAGCAGATTATTATTATTAAATTTTGCCTTTTTTTTTTAATATGTGTAGTCTCCTTTACACCACATGTTTAAAATGGTAAATTCTGGTAGGAAAGTATCGATTTTGCAATTAGGCTCCGCCCCTCGGTCTGACAACGAATGAAAAATTCATCACAATTGAATTTAATGTTTGGCTTGTTTTTTCTTTTTTAATTAATACATTTAGTTTTCTTTGTATAACACGATTACTTAAGAACATATTTCACATCGTAGTTTCTCGTAGAAAAATAAGGATTTTACAATTAAGCTCCGCCCCTCGGCGTACGACGAATAAAAAAAATCATCAGAATTGAGATAGGGCGGGTGGGCGGGGGTTATATTTTGCCTTTTTTTTCTTAAGATATATAGCCATCTTTTCAGAACAAGAAACTTAAAACATGGTTAAAATGGTTTTTGCAAGGAAATATGGATTTTGCAATTATGGGGCGAAGCACATTGCAAAACTGATACTTCCTTATACAAATTTTCCATTTTAAACATGTTTTAAGTTCATGTTGTGAAAAGAAGTCTACACATATTAAAACGAAAAGATAAAATGTAAGCCCGCCCACCCGCCCTATCTCGATTGTGATGAATTTTTTATTCGCCGTGAACTAAAGGAACACAGCTTAACTGCAAAATACATTTTTTTACAATAAATTAAAAACATGTTTTTGAGCACCCTGTTCAAAGAATACTATGTATGTACATTAAGAAAAAAAGGCAAAATATAAATAAAACCGCCCACCCTCCCCATCTCAATTGTGATGATTTTTTTTTATTATTAGAAACTTAAAACACGTTTAAAACGGTAAATTTTTGTATAGAAAGAACACTACAACAGTACCTAGTAAAATTTTATTGGTATTTCAAAGTTAACCATGAAGGTTGGACCTACAAAACCATAAATCATAAATTCAATGCAACCCTGGATGTTTCTAGCCCACTATACACTGGCGACACGCTCCTTTTATTGGCGTCATCACCCCCCTAGATTGCCCGACAATCCCTCAAAGTAGCAGTTGTAAAATTTTACTAGGTTCTGTTGTAGTGTTCTTATGGATTTTGCAATTAGGCTCCACCCCTAGGTCTGCCAACGAATGGAAACTTCATTACTATTGAGATCGGGGCGGGTATGGGTGGAGCCTAATCTTTGGCTTTATTTTTTTCTTTATATACGTACATACATGGTATGTTTCAACAACATGATACATACTCAAAAACATATTTTTAATTTCTCGTAGAGAAATAAGGATTTTGCAGTTAAGCTCCGTCCCCTTGGCTCACGACGAATAAAAAAAATCATCACAATTGAGATAGGGCGGGTGGGCGGGGCTACATTTTGCCTTTTTTTCTTAGTATATGTAGACTTATTTCGACAACAAGACACATGTCTAAAATGGTACATTTTTGTAGTAATCAACTTAAAGCCTCCACTTTTCTTCTACAACCCCTTTAAATACGGCGAATGTTGAACATCAAGGTTACTATCAACGGCAACTTGGCAACGGAGTTTATAAATGACAATTTTGAGTTCTAAAAGCAACTTGAAGCAACTGCGACGGGAACTTCAACGTCAACAGTAAGTTTATAAATCCCATTGCTAACGTCATCAAAAAAAAAAAAAAAAATGCATGGAATTCATTGGAGCTTTTAAAATAGAGCTTAATGTCCAGTGAGCTAAGCGCGATTAAACAAGCTTTCCATTTTATCAATTGAAAAAGGGAGGAAAGTAAATTTTGATAACGTCATAGAATATTTTGCCAAAGTAAAGACCCGTAAGCACGTTTAGTATTTGTTCAATAGAAAACCGCCCTGGGTGCCAAACCACGCTACGCCGCCACTGGCTCGTCTCAGATTATTTCGGGTTAATTTTTAAGGTGCCTGATCCACATTTGGAACAAAGTGTAATTTATAGCACTTTGTTGGAACCTAATTAAAGAGCACGTTTTTCTCAATGTTTCATAGTTCTTAAGAGCATGAAAAAATAAATGTGACGTTTCATCTTTCGAATCAGCCCCACCCACAATGTGATGACGTCACCTCAAAATTTTACACAGTAAATGTTGTATTCAAAAGGTATTTAATTATATTGGCGGTGGAATTTAACGACAATTTCAAATGCCAGTTTTTATCCACGGGTGTAACTATCCAAAAATGTTAATAAGTGAACAACTGTTTGTGCATATAGTTTATTACTAAAGTAAAATATCAACTATACTTTAAAACAGATCGATTGTAAAAAGGCAGTGATAAAATTACTGCACGTACTCCTAACAAGTGAGAACACATAGTTTGAAATTGTATACAGGCCTTCTCACACCACTGTATTCTTTTCAACTACAATTAATAATAATAAACAAGTGGTATAAGAACGCTGGATTTAAATTAGTGTAAACAGTACTAGAATCCATACTAATTCTACAAGTAAACCACACTGTAACAACATACTGTAACGTATTTCCCTCCATATTGTAATCTTAACTCAACAACTTAAAGCAATCAGCGGCGCCTTTCATAAAACATAGAATGAATAAACTAAATAGAAGCTTGAACAGAAAAACATACATACATTTTAATAAAGTAATCTAAACCGGGCAATTTTATCTTCTCTCCAACTATCTTCGTCTTTAAATTTCCATGTTAGCCGTCACTGATTGTGTTGAAATTCAAAGACAAGATTGTTGAAAAGAAAATTAAATGCGCTAGCACATTTCAAATTAGTTTCTTTTTTATTTTTACTTGCTTAACAATCATCACTTTAATTAAACAAATATCTCCGACAGGAATCGGCCGAACATTTACAAATCGACCTTCCTGCTAAAATTTCATTTTTCTCCGGTGTCTGTAGCTTAGGTCTCGACTTCTCAGGAGTATTTGAAGGCGAGACCATATTATTCGTCATGTAGTCAAACGTTAGTTCTTCCCCTTTCTCAATTTCCCTCAACGAAAACAAAGCCAACTGAGGTAGATTCGGATCAGAGCAATTAATCCAAACGGCCCAAACTGCCAAATTCGGTTCACACGAATGATTAATAAAATGCGAAACGTTTCCGTATTTCGCAGCGTCAACAGTGTACGGGTTATCTTTAGAATTGTAGTCTAAATCGAAGAGGTACGTTAAGCCTTCGGCATCGTAGGTATGACCTCTGATTTCAGCTTCTTCGTGCGTGATGACTTCTCCGACGTACTCGCAAATAAACTCCCCGTAATGAATTTTCCGCAAGGTTTTCACCCCCCAACCACAGCCGTTTTTTGTACGAAAGATGCAAAGCGGCACTTTGCGCCCTTTTTGCACAACCCTGTTTCTACAATCGGGCCCGCACTTACACAGATCGTTGCATTCGTAAATCGCCATTCCCGGGATGATGTTGATTTTGTCCCGCTTGCGGTAGGTGAAACTGTTGGGGTCCTGGCGGCCGCAGCACTGTTTTTTTCTAGGGCCGCATTCGTCGCAGTCGCATCCACTTGCTGGCTTGTATGGTATTTCCACGTTGTTTCCAGCTATGTATGCGTTTATGTACACGAAATCGTCAGGTGGTTCTTCCAAATCGAAGTTATTTTCCACTTTGATGATCGCCTCTTCTTTTGCCTTTGAGTTGATGTAGTTTTCCCAGTTTTGTAGCTTTTCCAGTTGAGCTTCCCGTTTTAAAAATAGCTGATACAGAAGAATCGCTCTCTTGCCCTCCTCTAATTTTTTGACGTACCGTTCTTTCGGTGGTGTCGCCACCAATCGCAGGATTTCTTTTTGTAACGTCACTTTCTCCGGTAATGTCGTCAAATCCACTTGTTTTAGCATTTCCAATAGCGCATGTTGGTTTAAGTTATTCGAAACGTTCAACTTCTCGGACAACGCATCCAAAACCTGCTTGCCTACGTTCTCGGTGAAGAAGTCCATCAGTACTGCTGGACAATGCTCCAAGTGGTCCAACGGCTCCCACGTGTTGTGTTCGTTCGAGTAATTCTTCCATTTGACTAAAAACATTTGGTTACCGGATCGTACTTCGTGTTCTAGAATTTTCTCCACTACATATTCTTTAGCGTATGTTACGTTCACAGGTTTTCTTTTTTTGGAAGAATACCACTTTCTCTTCACACCTTTGCGTTGGGGTGTTACTTCGTCGTTTTCGTCTTCTTTTGTGAGAGCGGTTAAGTCCACTTCTCTTCCTCGGAGGTGTTCGGGCCACGTCACTTTACCGTTCTCATCGAACTGGAGCCTCTCTATAAACCCACAAAGTGTTTCAGAATCACGAACCATTAGAATAATATAAAAGACTACTGTTTATAAAGACACTATCAGTTCGATGTAACGATTAAAAAAGGGTGCACCGCACTGCACGAACACTCACAAGTTTTATCTAAATGTGTACACGCACTTCACAAACATTAAAATACTCTGGATGTGTTTAAAGAGTGCACAAACTAAAAACTTTGTTCATTATGGTGAAATGTTTATCATTGTTGAGTCATTTCATGTAACGTCAAAATATGTAAAGATATTAAAATGTAACCACGAAAATTCTTTGAATAAAATTTACTGTTATATTTCAATGATAATAGTAGTATTATTTTTTACTTATAAGCGGACACAAGATTTTACGATTACAAGGGATACATTTTTTTTTTAAATCCTTGTACCGTACACGCTAAATATCTAGCAAATTACCTGAACTAGCGGTATGCTGCAAATTTTTTATCCCAAATAACATCGCCCATTTTTCTCTAATATACAGAAATCAGAAATTCTATTGTTATTTCATCTTCTGCTTCGTTTATGTGATAAAAATCACTTCTTTCCAAAACTATTCTTTGAGTTGCTGTTTACGACATTTTTACCAGGAATGGTGCTGTTTTTGAACATTTCATGGTAATAAAAATAGATTGAATTTGGCAATATTCAATTAGGTTATGTATAGAAAAGTTACGAGAAGAATTCCCTGACTTTGCCGTACAGTATACGCAGTTTCGACAAATTTCCAAGAAAATGGATCTCTGGCACGAAAACCTGGAAACGGTTGTCCAAAGCGAACTCCAGACATTTTTTTATGGTAGAGTTTTTTAGAGTTTTAACAATAAGATAAATGATGTTTTCAGGAAATATAAGTGCTGCAAGATAAGGAAACGATATTTTAACTCCATTTTTAAACTGGATGATGAGTTAGTTTATGGAGTACTTTCAGCAGGATGGTGCTACTGCTCATACAACTGGAGCTACAAAAGAGATCTTCGCCGCCTGCTCCAAATATATTTTTCATTGTACACCCATTATATTACATTACCTGATTCAACTGTTAACTTACGGCTGACGCATGACGTAAGCGTCATGGCCAACTAAAGCAGAAATGTAAAAAAGTACCTGACACTTATTTCAAATTATCTATGGTGTGGGTATAAATTTCAATTCAAATCATGTTTTCGAATAGTTTGTCGATTTATTAAAACAAAAATGGGTTTTACAACTAAAAACGAAAAAAAGGCTAAATTATAAAGGATATAATAAAAAACCAAGTCTATTTACATAAATTTTGAACTACAATTTTTATTCATTGGATTAATTAATTTTATGGAAAAAACATTTTTTTATAGCTGTTCTATAAAATTTAGCGACTTTCAAAATTGACAATAAGAACAAAAAATTGAAGCACTCCATTCAAACTTTTCAATGTACATTTTCAAAGTACCATAGAATGCGAAAAATACCACATGATCGAATGTCCTCCGGTAACTATGAAATTTATTTTTTAAATAATTATGTTGGTATTGGAACTATTTGACGATTATTTGACAGTTACTTGACCGTAATCGTCCAACCGAACAAGAAACGCGTTGGTAATGCCAACATAATTATTAAAAAAATAAATTTCATGGCCTCCTAAACGACTTTTTACCGATCATACGCTACCAGGTACTATTCAAAAATATTAAATAAACAAGCAAGGATTTCAATCAAACCGTAGTATGTAACTTGAAACTGTTTATATAATTTTCTATATTGACTGTACTGTTTTAAAAACTTCATCTACTTTTTATTAACTGATAAATTTTCCCGAATACATGAACGACCACACGAACTTTATTCTATTCAGTTATATAAATAACACAATTTTCAAAGGTCCCTTTCAATAATCATCACTAACTATATTCAAACACCTTTATTGATGATTCACTTTGTGTATAACGGTGTTTTCTAAATATATAAAGAATGACGCTGAGGTATTTTAATATATGATTGAAAAAACTAAGTGAAAACATGTTTTCAAATATGAAAAAGTAACTTTTATGGTTTGATATTCAATTGACATAATAAATCAATACTTCCTCTTGCTCTTTTATTTTTACTTTGATGCAAACAATGATCCAAACAATTATTGTGACTGTGATCTGTAATTTTTACAATAAATTATATCAGAAGTAGTTGAATTTGTTTCAAAATCACGATACATAACAGAAAATATAGAACGACGAAAAAATGAAACTTTGAAACATACAAGGATACAATTGGCTCTTGCAGTTAAATTTGAAACTATGTAAAGCAAAAAAGTTGCATTATTAACAATTCAAGAGAAAAATCTTCACATTCTTGTGAGTGATACCTTGTGAAGCCAAATTTGCTTATTTTTTCCAACAATTACAAAAATAACGAATTCACATGAAATGACCCACACCAAAACAATTTGCGCTGTAAATATTAAAAAAGTAAATTCTTCCAGTTTCCTCAATACTGCAACAACTGCATTAAAACTTGTGTGCGTATGTGTGCAATTAAAAATAAATATAAGAAAGAAACTCAATAACATGCAAGAACTGTGGTACGTCATGTACTAGATTTTGAGATAAGCAGTTGCCTCTACCTTCACATTTTACAGAAAATGTTGCATTAGTGATTCATATTACACAAGCAAATTTTAATAATGAAACTGAAGAAAATAAAGGTTTTTTCGTTAGTACTATTACTATAGTGAAAATGCCTCAACTCACCTAACTTAATTGTAATATTACGTTCCAGTTCATTCTTAAATCTGACAGTCTGCACCCCCGAAATGGCCTTAACTACTGTAGACTTTCCGTGGGCTACATGTCCAATAGTACCAATGTTAATAGTCGCTTGGCGACTGATTACTTCAGGTGATAGGGCTGTTAACTTCGTTACATCCTGAAACGAGCAAGAGTGTTGAAGATCTAGTACCAAAGATGTGGCATTTAAAGCAAGATTAAGGTTATGTCAGAAGTGAAAAGTACAATATGTTATTTACACCTCTGGAAAACAAATAGACCAGATTTTTAATTTGACAAACATTTACCAATTTCTGTAAATCCTGTTTATGCAAGTTTGGTTGACCTGTTGTCACGCCTGTACCTTCTGCAGCCGCCATTTTAAACCGGGAAACAAAACTGAAAGAGCGGGATCGGGAAGTCGGCGAGGTTTGTGTCACCTTTCTGACATTTGAAGCGCAAAAGTTACTAGAAAGAGGCGTGGTTTTCAATGACAATCGGAACAGAAGTGCTACCAACACAATTTCGCTGACATGTGTGACGTTTTTTACACTGTTTTACATTTGTCACCACGCACAGATACAGTATTGGGTAAAAGTTATGTTTGATTAATTATACAAGAGGTTGAGGAACAAATTTCATGATGATTACCTTAAGTGCAGATACCGTTAGACATGGAATTTTATTTTTCCTATGGACCGAGTATTTATGGGAACTCTACTTATCAATTAGACAAGTAAGTCAGTCGATTTGTAGAACACGTTTTCATGTTGATCTTGCAGTACAATAAAGCGTTGGCAACTACTGAGGTACCCCCAGAGTTGAAAAGCACTATGCCAAAAGAAACCTTTGATAAGGCGAGAGCGTACACGTTGGCAAAGAGCAAGTTTGGATTTTTTAAAGACACGTTTCTTACTGTACAATCGACGGTGATAATTCACTTTTCTATTCTGCCACAGCTTTGGAATTATGCAGAGTCAATTAACACGTATGGAGGTGAAGTGCTAACAAGTTGCCTTTGGTTGTTCATTTTGACCACCATTGTAACAATTGTTGATTTGCCTTTAACAATCTATAACACCTTTGTTCTTGAAGAACAGTTCGGTTTTAACAAACAGACTAGTGGATTTTTTATTTGGGATAAAATTAAGGCCTACATTTTGAGCCAAATTTTTACTATGATGATTGCTTCTGTTATTGTGGTTACTATCAAGAGTGGTGGGGAATACTTTTTCGTGTGGCTTTGGATAGTAGTGTGTGCAATATGTTTGGTTATGTACACTATTTATCCATCGCTGATTGCACCTTTGTTTGATAAGTACACACCTCTCCCAGAGGGGGAATTGCGCACCAAAATTGAGAATTTAGCTTCTCAGTTAAAGTTTCCTTTAACACAGTTGTATGTAGTGGAGGGTTCTAAAAGGTCTTCTCATAGCAATGCTTACTTTTATGGTTTTTTTAAATCTAAAAGAATTGTTTTGTTTGATACTTTGTTGGCGAAAGATGATGGTACAGGGTGTAACAATGATGAAATTTTGGCCGTTTTATCGCATGAATTAGGACATTGGCATTATAACCATATTACAAAGAACTTTTTGGCTTTACAAGTCAATTTGTTACTTTTGTTTGCCGGATTTTCGTATTTGTTTAAATATACGGTGCTTTATAACGCGTTAGGTTTTTACAATGGACGGCCTGTTCTTGTGGGGCTCTATATTGTGCTTCAATATGTCATGCTGCCATATAACGCATTTTTGAGTTTTATATTAACTTGTCTGTCTAGACGTTTCGAATTCCAAGCTGATTCTTTTGCAGTTGAGCTGGGTAAGGGTGACCACCTTGTCAGTTCTTTAGTGCAGTTAAACAAAGATAATTTAGGTTTTCCAATTTATGATTATCTTTATTCTTCGTGGCACCATTCTCATCCACCGTTGCTCGAACGCATAGATGTTATTAAAAATAAGAAAAAAGACTAAAAACTGTTGAACCAAAGTGTTTCATTTCAATTGTCTGGTTACATCCAAGTGTCTGAACTTTATACTACTTTTGTAATAGCATTTAGCATTTTCTTGTATTGATGTTTGTGATCAGTTATGTTTCATGATGTACAATAAAAAACGATAGTTTAAAAACAAACCTTCCTTTATTTATGGAACAATAATATAATTTTTGTGTCACTAAATAGCATTATAACAATTTAGAATGAATCCAATGCGAATGGAATGGAAATGAAAAATCTAAATAGAAGAGATAGTTTCTTCCAAAATGCTCCATCATGCTCTGACAGCAGAGCTTTCATTCTTCCGGTACTCAACATTGTTCCCTCTTTACAAATAGAATATGCATACAAGGTAACATTAAATAAAATATATAGAAATAGAAACAATTTCGCCTTATCTACAGTGTTTGCTTAACCAAAAATCAAAATTGTAGCTACAAGCAGATTGAGATGGGCCTGGACTGTGAAAATAATTTTCAGCGATATTATAAAAGTTTTCCCAAAATTCTGGATGCCCATGTGGGACCCAGCACAATCTGTACAAAATACAGAGATATTAGTACAAGATTTTTGTCACTAACCGAATGTTCTATGGCAACAACCATTCTACCATCTACAAACATATATGTCACATCTCTTATTTGATTTCGTGAGATTATAGGTACATTTGGCATTATCATTATTAATGGAGAAGTAGGAAGACATGAAATAATTTACAAAAGTTAAGAAGCACACAATCAAATCGCAGCGTTAACATTTGCCGTCTGGCTCAAGTGCCAAAATGAGAAGAAGCCAATCCAAAGGACAAGTGATAACACTGAAATTGAATATACCTGTGAGAAATCAACTGGGCCTGAAAGAGATAAGGAAACATACAGCTTATTGTCTTCCAAATACCTAACATTTTTAACAGGTAAAAGAAACAATTTCAGTAGGTATACGTATTTACATTCACTACTGGCGCCTATTCTAATTGTATGTACAAGTTCTTGAATTAAATTTAAGACAATTAATTGTAACGAGGTCAGCTGACTAGTGAATAATATATAAGTAACAACGAAAGTTTGAAAACAAAAAAGTACAAAATCAACGAAAAATATTAAGTTTAGTCGATTAAGGTCTACTCTACAAGGATCTGAATATGATATATGACTTAGATTTACTTTCTTTATTTGAAAGGTGGTAACCACCAGAAAGCACGATTCGCAGTATATGCACCACAATTTTTATAATTCTTTTAAAAAAATAGTATTTCTTTTACATAACTGCTACACTGTCAGTTGCGTAAAAAGCTTTGGAGCTTACTTAAGTCTGATATTAATTCCTGATATGACGAAAATGAAGATACCTACAAAAGTGACCTGCGCTTTTCGGTACTTACCCCTTTTAAATACTCCTAAAATAATAAAGTAGCAAAGGTACAAACTTGCTACGTTTTCATTAAAAACCTACATTAACACATTTTCAAGTTACATACAATTGTATGAATTATATATTCTGGGTGCGAAAACCATGTGCTCTTCTTTAAACAGTATTAAATGATAATACAAGTTAATCTATCCTCAGGCAGAATAGAATATCACAATTCGCGTTAAGTTTAAGAATTTATAGCACGGCAGCAAGTGACAGTCGATCAAGATAACCCAAACTCACTGAATCGCATTTACACACTACATCCAGCACCTTCTTCCAATTTATTGATCAACCGTCATTTTCTGCCTCATCTATTGACTATAGGACTAGTCTAGAACGGAAAACTGTACAATAAACATGTAAACACTTCACAATTGGTACCATTTCTTGTCTTTGTACTTGAGCATGAGATCGTGGCTCGACGACTGGAAGTTTTCCGCTTCGGCTCGCATCCTTTCGGCTCTATCTTCAAGCTGACTTAGTTTCTCGCCTCTTTCTATCATTAATTTGTGGGCTCTACTAATTTCGCTTGTGGCAGTCGTTGCTCTAGCACCCATCTCCTGAAGATTTCCTGGTATGTGTTTTGCCACAGATTTATTCGCTTTGCCGCTGGATTCCCCGACTGAAAATGGTTTAATTACGAGACGCTTGGCGATTGGTCAACTGTCTTACATAGCTCTTCTCTGTCTAAAGTACGCACTCCACCACCGAAGAGACCTTTAAAGAAACTTTCTTTGGGTGGTTCCGGCATGTCCAGTGGTAAAAATAGCTCGCCAATCAAATCCGTAAGATTTGAGCTAGAAATTTTGGTTTTCACCACGACGGAACGAGGTCAAAACTTACCAAAAGTCTGTACAAAGTGTAAACTTTTGTAGTTCAGACGGCGATGTTAAGTACAATCCGTGTCCCCTATTGCTGAAGCAAAATGTTCGAGCGATTCTAAAAGTTTTTAAAACTTGGTCAATTCGATTTACCTGACACTAGAAACTTAATGTAAATTAATAATTACAGTTTTCATCAATAAAGCTATTACTAATAAATGTGCGTCATGATCCATGAATGTTTGGCAAACGTTTTCCTTAAAAACCACACTAATGGGCATTGTAGGGTATGTTTTGTTTAATGGTGCAGTATTATTTACATGAACGGAACATTAGTTTAACGGTAGGGGTTTCTGGGTGATGCATAATAACACCAAAATCGCATTCAACTGAGAGCACTGGTTATAACATATTCAAGTTTGCTACGTTCAATAAATGTTATTTACGATTCACCAAATTAGAAACAAACAAGTAATCATGGGATGAGTTCTCAAAATAAATTTTTGGGGCTGTTCAGGTATTACGTCCGCATCAAATACACCATTCACAGTTATTTTACCACACAAATATAAAAAATCGGGTTGGGTCGTTATATCAAAAATTCACCACAAAGTTATCGACACACACAATATGCACTAATTCAACATGCATGTAAAAATCGGAGAAATTTTGTTGCAATTTTAAACGATTTGTTAAAATTGCATCGTTTAAAAATGTTAAGATATAAAAAAGCGATGGTCATGGACAATAAAGAATAAAAAAACAACGGATCATGCGATCATGCAACCAAAAAATATCGTATTTTTAAAAATTGTTTTAAGGGGCGCTGATTTAGGGCTAAAAACACCAGGTTGTGTTTATTTGGGTCGAACACAATCAAAAATTGGTGTTATTTTAAAACAGAGAACATTATCACATATGGGTTTTTAACTAAGTAGTAAATCTAAGATTTCAGAAAAAGTATTAGTGTGTAGTTTTATTTGAATCTCGTTTAAAAAAATCTATTAAAAACAATTGTTAGTTGTTTCTTGTTAATAATGGATTTAAAATAAAATTTAAAAGCGGTGCTGTCGATTTTCTTAAAAAATGTGGCAAAATGTTCTCATTCGCTAAAAATTTTAAATACCGACCAAAACAAATTTCAGATCAGATTAACTTGATGTGGAGTAGATATAAATTGGAGATTAGTGACCTAATTTAACTTACGCCGACAAAATCAAATTATAACTGCATTAGTAGTAGGAACATGGTGAAGCTGACGTCATTTTAAAATCAGCCACACATAATCAATATTCTGAATAGTGGAAAAACCGCGAAATTTAAATTTCGGACGTGCGTGATTGTAAGTAACTAATTACACATATTGGGTTCCACAAAACAAAACTATTACTCACTTGGTAATTTATTCAAGATAGTAATCACACGTATTAATAGTATGCTGGGGCCGTGAAATTGATAAGTTAATTACAAATTAAATGTAAAATGCACTTCGTATGAAAACAAACAAAAAATACCGTGAAGTTAATCGAATCTACAAATTTGTATTTAGTCAGTGCGTATCCAACAAAATTATAAAAATCGGAAAATGAAAATGGCTCCGTATCGCGGTGCAGGTGTCTTGGTAGAAAATAAAATGCAAAATGTCTGTGCATGCAAGTGTAATAAATAACCGCAAAATTATGGCTCAGTAATAATTAATGTATGTACAAAAATAAAAAATTGAATGTGAACATGAGGCTGCTTTTAATTCAGTTATTCGGTTAATAGTTGTAGTTATAATAACAAATTTTGAACGTAGGATTATATCTTTATGTTGGTATTTTTATACACTGTACAATAAGTGCGTATTTAAAATTAGCTTTATGATTAGTGATAATAATGACCAACGATTTATTAGTCAAATACATGCAACAATATTTATATTCACAACCATCCGACCATGCTCTTATCAAAATGCAGTGCTGTTGAAAGTGTGCATGGAAGCCATTTAATTAGTAAGTGATTGTGTGTTCGAAATTGTGTTTGTTTTGAATGTATTACAGTTATTTTACAGTTTGATACCTGTTTTATAAGGCTGATTATGTCTTTCGTATTGCACATTAATCAAATAAAACTGCATTTTAAAAGTCTTAATTATCTAATATGGATGAGTTTGGTGTCGTATGGTACGCATATTTATTCGTCATGTTTGACTTATAAAAAATAAATACGCATGAACCACAATCAGGACTTTAAATTCAACCAAACCAAATTTAGCTCATCTGTGTTTAGATGTTCTTATGAAAATCCGTGAATACTTACTTATGTGTGATTTCGCAAAGAATGTTACTTAAGTTAAGCAATCTACTTCTACGTTTCTGTATTCTATGGGTTATAGTCCGAGTATACCTTGAAAGTGGCTGTGAAGATAAATCCTTTTTCTAGAAGATTATAATACCTATTGCAGTTATTTTCATAGAACATCTAAATCTTTCTGTGCCGATTAAAACTGACGTCCTGATTTTATTCTTAATATAATAACTTATTAAGTATCGAACATGGCCTTGTGAATAACTTACTGGTCAGTATCCTCGTTAACAATGAGTTGTTGTCCCCAAATGGATAACATTGGGTCTACAATGCCTTTGTTAGATTGTGTCTGGAAACTAGCATAGCAAGGTAGATTAGAAGCAAACTAGGGCGAACAGAATTACAGATCGAAGATCGGTTATCCTAAGAATTTTTGCTGCTACAACAATTCAGTAGAGGTTGTGCTTTACATCAAATATTTATAGATAAGTACACAGGTTACATTAAAGTTTCTCTAATAACGCCGTAGAAATCTGTTTATGTTGGAATTCCTGTGAAGATTAGCTTACCCACCCGATAATCTCGTACATTATATACAGCAACCCCGTCAACACAATTACCGAGTGGGTGTAATCCTTATTGCACAGGTCCGTCTTAGCCCAACGATCATATAATCCGCACCTGTACAATAACATTCTCTCTAAACTTGAAATGGAAACTCTCATGCAATCAAGTCTGAGCATAAAGTAAAGGAAACAATGCTAACAATGGTGCTGCGCAGCTATCGTGTTTAGTTAGAAACAAGAGTATGAATAGTCGCGTCTCCACTCTTCCGACGACTTACCTAAGCTCCGACAACGGCAGAAAATCTATATCGATGAGCGGTCTTAAACTCGGCAGACTATACGATACCAAATGGCCGTTCGAAACGTAACACATTAAACACACGCTCTCTGAAACATGAACGATCAAATTATTCGAAATTGTGTCGTTTTGTGGTTTTACCCCTTAATGAGATCACCTCGGCTTTCACAACAAAGTCCGAGTCGGTTAATTGCTGACGATAGACGCAAGTTTGGGATGGCAATGCGACGACTCTCGCTTGTTTTTCACTTACGATCACAACGTACTGCCTGTCGTTGAACGAGTCGCCTCTGTTTTGTTGATCACTGAGGGTTGGGCTCATCCGATTCTGGTTTTTAGTTGGGGTTTCTAGGGTAAGGACACATAGTTCATAGTAAAATTGGAACACGGTTATGAGGGCTGAGTTAACTGTGCTTAAGTTTTAATCAGTCTTTACTTAATTGTGTTTATCAAATTTTTTATCTAATCTGAAAATCTTTGCAATTATCGTCGGATTGACTGTTTCTCTGCATGTGATTTTTAACCAATAATCTGAGAACGTAGCCTACTTCAATTAAGTTAGATAATACTAATCCAACTTCAACTTATTTTATTTTATTTCAACTTCATGTTTTTGTCAGATTTTAATGTTTCGATAATAAAACAATATAGTTATTTATGTGGCAATAAAGAGCGTCTCGAGCATTAGCAATTTTAACGAGTGTCCAATTCGCCATTCCACAGTTCATGGAACAGGAAAATACAGATTCCCTGTTTCCGTCTGTTCGTCTAAATTTCAATTTTTAGGTGGTACTTACCGAAACTACCCCACCGATTAATCAGAATTTTTATTTTAAGTTCATACACACATTCTAACTAAAAAAGTGATGACCTCATTCCAAAATACTCTTTGGGTCATTCAATTTTACAGCAAACATGTATAAAGAGCTCCTCTAAATTTCTGGAGATGCTAACATTGAATAATATGAGATTTATGGAATGACTAAGTAAAATATATTGTTCATTCTTTTCAGAAAGTTAAAGACGTCATTGCAAAAAATTATTAATAAATTTTGGTAACGATTATTCGGGATTTAAATTTAAAAATTAATAGATGAAGCGATGTAGTATATAATATTTTTATCAAAATCATTGCTTGTCCTTGTTCCTTGTTCACATTAAAACACATCATAATTACCAAGTTAATTCTTCAACTTTGAAGTTTAATTTTTTCAAAAATTTGGTTTAGGGATTTTTTAAACCATTTTTAGGGTTCTTCAGAGCCTTTTTAACAACGAGCAGCTTAGACGTAATTTTTTCATCACTCTGTACAATTGTCAAATTTCAAAAAATTATATATCAAGTTAGTTTTGGAAAATCTGTCATTGCGCTTTCTATGCGAATTTGCCGCTTCATTGAGGTGGGTATCAGTCAAATGCATCAGTTGGTTGCCTATCCATCAGGCAGCAAACATAAGAAAATTTGGTTATAGCTGACTTTTGTGTAGCCCTCTGGCTACAAACGGTGCATCAGAAGAAACCATGCATTTCTCTCCTTCGATGTATAATCTACTATTATTGTTTGTAAATTCACAGTTCATGTTGGGATTTTAATCGTTACTGGTTCTAACACATTTTAACAGTCATTAGATTGTACAGATAAAGCACTTGCTAGGAGATTTCATGAAATTCACTTAGTCAGGACTCATTCTTTTTTTATTAAGTTATAAATAAGGTTTCTGGATTCTTATACTTACGTGTTACAATATAACACTTCTTAATTCCTCACACAAGGTTGCTAATTGTTGATTTATGGCGGTTAAATCAACCTAACATGGTCCTACTCTGGGAAAAGGACCATGGAAAGGGACGGGGGGATTAAATTTTAGCCCTTAGGCAGTTATCATCATTACATCATCGAGACATATTTCTCGCGACATTGGAAATTACGTTACCGAGACGTAATTTTCGGGACGAGGGATGCATTTTGTGTTTATTTATTATGTGTTTGTTTGGGATAAGCTGGGGGCAATTCAGAATATATACTCTCAAAGCAAATTGTTTTAAGTAACTAGTCACTTGGATCAAGACATAGTTTACTTAACATTCTTTGTTGGAACCATTGATAAAGTGTGGCATAATTTAATATCATGTAAATTCTTTGTTTGAATCGTTGATAAAGTGTGGCAAATATTAACCTGATGTAATTTTGTTAGCTTTGCAATTTTTCACCTCATGCGATTTTTCTCTAGGTCACAATTTTAGGCTCGGTAATTTTGTTTGCTGCATAATTTAAATTGAACGTAAATTTTCATACTCTGCAGTTCCTAACCTATGTTTTGTCTGCACAAGTTTTACTTCACACCAGACCTTTTTTGTTTTTATAAATTTTTACTATTTATATCTACCACGTAAATATTTTGTTGATTAGTGCTTCCATCATCTAAATTGTCTGATGTCCAATCTTAATCTCAGATAAGAATTCTTTGCTGTTTAAAATTTCGCGAGAGTGTATGGCAAATTTAAATGTTGTTTATTGATCTTTTGAAACTTTAACACTTGTTCAGTTGTAGTTTAATATCAGTCATTGAAAGTGACCATTTAAATGGAATTGGGGTAAATAGCACAGAAACACGTGGCAGAAGAGGAGGGCGCGGTTCCTAGTCGAGCTGGCGGGATTTATCGCGCCATCTGCACAAAAGACGCGGATCTTGAATAGAAGTCAGCGGAGCGGTCGGAATATGTGACGCTCGCGGCTTGGGCCATTCGCCGGGATTTCCAACAACGAGTAACGGCCTGTTAGCGCGGCACTTTTCTTCGTTAGATAGAGGGGTGCTGGGCGGCATGTGCTTGCCGATAGAGTAGAATCATTGTCGTGGTGGGAAAACAGCCACAACCAGGAGCCCCAAACTCCGCTCATGCTACAACGCCACCTATGAGTAATTTTGCTGTGCTCTAGAATGAAATTGATCTAGTTATACCGCTGTCACTGTACGCCCTGCTGCATGTTTTTTTTTGTTAAAATTTTGTGTTCTTGTTGACTGCCATAATTTTAAGTTTGCCGCCATACGTCCGTAATAACTTGTGTATTTGCATCCAGTTACTTTAATTCAGATTTTTCTTTCCTTTTTTATTAAATTAATTACGTTTACTTCGATTTCATTCCAAGTTAGGCAAGTTTTTTTTGTTGCTGAGAACTAAGAGGTCTTCAACCAGCGCAACTTAAATATCAATTAGATAAATCAAAAAACCTTAAAAATTAGCCAGACTTTTCCAATTCATGAAACAATTTTTAAGTTTTTTGTTATATTATAAAATTAAGAAAATTGTGGATGAAAACAAGATACTTCCTCAATTATTTTGAATAATGGAAGTCTAGTTAATTTTATGTATCCAACACTAAATCGTAAAATATTGAAAATAAAAATTAAATTTTGAAGGGCTATATTTTATATATTTGGGCCCAAGAATTTTTTAAATTATTTTTTCTTTGTTCCATAAACATAAACAGTCTTCAACAACGTGTCGTAGAGTTGATATGCCATTTTTTCAGCACCCTGTATATACAAAACTGTTATTAATTTACACATTGCGATTTGAAATTTAAATTTCGCACTGAGAGAAAAAAAATGCCACAAAACGGCAATAACGCAGGCGACCACCCATGTAAGCTCCAGAGCGTTTAGGGAATTTGTCAGACACTCTTTAGGTTGGCAATGGTTAGGGGTTGGTAATACAGGCAAGTATAATTTTTTGAAAGCGCCCTCACTTCCTGATTTTAGCGCTTCACTTGATTTGTTGTGCTAATGTAAACACGTGTTAAAAATGAGTGTAGGTTAAATTCAGTTTGTAATTTCATAAAAGGGCAATTGTTTAAACAAAAATGAATCGCAATCGACGCCACAGGCTTCAACCAGTGTAATTAATGCAGTGTTGGTTTATTAATGATTTTATACTTTGTCTAACCCACTTGATTTTGGTTTTGAGCGTATTCAATATTTGCCAGTTGTGTTGATTTTCATATGCGCTTTGTTTATGTAATGTGGGATCTACTTTCGGTCTATGACGATGTAAATAATTTTGAGTTTTTGATTAACTTGAATTAATGAGAATTTAACATCATGTAAATTTTTATTGCGGCATAATTCAATAACCGAAATAAACGCACTCATTTTATTATTGTCAAAATTGGCGATTTTAACTCGAACCGAAATAAACGTACAAATTGAGAACTTTTCTTTCCTTGGCGGTTTCATGCGAATGTTTATCTGCAATACCGGATTTTGAAGTAAGCCTTAAAATTATGAGGTTTAAAACCCACAGCACGTATTGTGGCTGCGGTTAGGGCAAATGGACACGAGAAGACGCCGTTTTCGCTACACCTCCTCACGTTGCGCACTTTGTTTTTCACTTAATTTTGTTTGTTGTTCATATTTAAATTTGCTGCCACATTATAGTAATAACCTGTATACTACCATCCAGTTACACTAATGGTGACTTTTCTGTGCGTTTTTAAATTTGTGATATTTAAATATTTGATCACAAAATTTTTAACTTATGAAAAATACAGTATAGAGTGCTCTAAGTTGGAACTGTTTCTTTTTTCAGTTTGAAAGTAACAATATTTTTTATTAATCTTTATTCTTTGATTAAAGTAACGAAAAAACATTTGCAAATGTGTAGTCATTTTTTTTAACATTACCATATTGTGTGGATCACCAAATTTCAATTTTCTTTTATAATTGAAACGGAAACAGGGACATTAGAAACGTACTATTAACGTATAATTGCAATTTCGACAAGGAGGAAAAAATTAACATATCTTGATGAGAATCATGTATAGACAGACACTCGGCAAAGAAAGAATTAGAAATTTTCAAAATTACAATTTATCCTGTGGTGAATTAAAACATGAGAACAGTTAACAATACATAATTGTAAATTCTTAAATATCTTCGAAAGTTTAGACATTCAGGTTCGATCCTGCATTCGGTTTTCTTTACCCTGGTCGGGAGGAAGGTGGTGGGGGCAGTCGCAGGTAGGGTACAGCTTAGAAACTAATTAATAAGTAGGCTATTTCAGTCTTACAAGATGATAGTGTAGAGTGTAGATGTTGAAACCCATAGACAGTTTATTGCAATTCTCGGTGTCGTGGGAAAAAGTGTGTTAATGTTAGTAATCGTTAAAAAAGTTACCAGTCACACAAAATAAACTGATTTTTTTTTTAAATTTGACTTACTCTCTCGTTTGTCTCGATTATCGTCCCTCCACGACTCGTAGGCGTTCGGTATGAGAGATCCGTTGTAATCCAGGAAGGACATATGCAAAATCGCTCCTTTCAGTCTAAAGATAGTAACTCCAACAAGCGACACAACAACAGGTTGAGATGATCTGCTGTCCGAATCCGGTGGGGCGATCAGTATAGTCAACACTGATCCCAAACTTGTGCCGACCCATAAGGTCGGCATTACAACTGTGGGTTCTGAAAAGGCGTGTTACTATTCTGTTTTCACATTTGTGTGCCTATCACCTGATTTCTTTGCGAAAGAATCGGCAAACACCAGACACTGTATTGCCTCAGAGGTGATATTCTCTAGTGAGCTCATGGAACTTGATCTTGATCTTGAAAACGAACTATCCAGCTTGTCTACGCGGCCCATAAGCATATTTTACTATTAGTTATTGAAATTGTGAGAAGGTGCAAGGTGGGAATAAACAATGCACTACTCATGCGCTCACAAGCAGAATCATTCCAGAAAAATGCGCCTTCACTTACAAAGAATTTTACATTGTATAACACACTGTCTCTTATTCTTACAAAAGAATTCTTCATGAATGAAGACCGTTTTTTAAGAGATTGTAATTTAAAACTTGTTTAAATGAAGATAATTTAATTAGAAAATTTAAAATAATCTAGCACTGAGTTGTTTAAAATCGTGTTTTACTAACAAAAATGTTCTGTTGTAAATATGCGGAATAACTTAATTTCACTTTTCGTATGTACGTACGTACTCGGGTATTTACAAAAAACATTTTGTGATTATTTAATTTATTTAAACGTTTTATTGAAAACGTTTTATTGAAAACGTTTTATTGAAACACTGAGTTATCCACTGACTTGCAGTACATACCACAAATATACACCTACGTATTTACAGTGGCATACAAAACGTTGAAGTCATGGTATTTGTAGTACATACGGTATTCCACATCGATCATGCAGAAGCTTTTAGCAATAGCAGTATAATATAACGAAGTAATATTACTTCTGGTAATAATTACCTTCAAAATACCAATCACCATAACATAACAAACACAAAACACGTATGCATGCTGTCAGTACGATTCCTAATTAAAAGAAACGACAAAATAATAAAAGAATAAGGCGTTGCAAGGCCTCATTTGGAAAATAGCTACAGTAGGACCGTCGTGCTAAATCGACAAATAGAGCCCAATTGTTCTACTTTTTGAATTATGCTTATTCTTAACACTTAATAAAAAAATGCATAGCTTTTATTACATTGTTATTCTGATTCGATATACCTGTTGTCGATTTGGCATGAAAACAAGCTATGCATTCGGCCGAGTGTAAAATTTAATTCCTCTCGAACACAACAACAATGTTCATAATATTCGCCAGTGAAATTTTAATACTTTGACCTATTTTAGGCAGGTATTATGATTCATAATTCTTTGCGACAACCGTAATAAACCTAAGAAAGCGCTCGAATCCCCAAGAAACAGACAGACTCAACTGAAATGATGAATATTAATGAGAGTTTGATTAAATTTTACATTTTGGTGAAGCCATAATTAATCAGTTTAGTCGGAAATGGTGAGTTACAAGCTACGTATTCGACACAAGCGTTCGAAATCAAGACCATGCCATAGGCAGAAACATTTTTGTTTGTTTGACTGAAAGTACGAAACAAATCAACTTAAGGAGAACAAAGGAAAACGAGAGTGTACTGTGAATAATAACAAGACTTGCGAATCAGCACAAAATACACAAAATCGTCATAAAGCAAAACAAAATTTACAATATTATATATCGGATTTTTGAAACACTTTGAGCTCGTCATCTGTGATCAGAACTGTGCAATTAGTTGTTATTGGTTTTAATACTAATAAGACAACATCAATCAGTATTTGTGCAAATACGTGACACAAAGAGGCAACAAATTCCACAAAGACAATCTAGTAGAGAAAGATTTTTGTCGAAGAGACAGTTGAGAGCACAGAAGAGACACAAGATTTTTAATTTCAGGTAAGATAAAGTACAGGTTTGGATAGTACGAGTCACCTGATAATAACATGCTGTAATTAGAGAAAACGGAAAAGTCTTGATAAAATCAACGAAACACTGTGTTCGTAAAAATAAAACGTGAAACTATCAACACTGTAAGAAAATTGAAAGTGAAAGAATTCATCAAATCTACTTGTGAACATGAGACAAACTACAATGTGAAGTCAAAATCTACAACAAACTACATAAAATATAATATCTTAATTTCAAATAAATGTACTGCTATTGCTGTCATCTAACCTTTGATGCAGCTAAAGTAGCTAACGGAACTCAAACACTAAATTCTTACAACAACTGCATACGAACAAGAGATATTAAAAACGCTTCTACAAAGAATTTAATATCTCTAGAAAAACAAAAAGGAATTAAAAGAAAATTTTGAAAAATAGGAAAAGAATAAGTTATAAACTCGGGTCAAGTACAAGAGCCCAGATAAATTACTGTGATAGCGAGTAGAGAAACACATTTAGTTTTAACATGAAATGAGAAGAGTCAAACATTTCTAACAACTATACTGTATTTGCAGAAATAACTTGAAAACTTGTTCAATCTACAATGACAACATGACAAATGATGGAAAAGAATTTCAATTTAATTCTCCAAAACATATAATGGTTGATTTAGTTAAGTCTACCTGTTGGTCCAATGTTTGTAAAATTTGTAGTAAAACGTTAATACTTCACATAATTCTCGTTACATGAAGCGTCAACAGATTGACGCAACAGATGGTTAAATTAAATAGTGACAAGAGTGTCAGCAAGCACCCACTAAAATGATGAATGTTAAGTGTGTAAAGGTGATTTTTGCCGCCTCGAGTATACGTGTTCATTAGTATTCCACTTTCAGCTGCTGTTTGAAACGAATGTATTAACATTTTCTGTGACACACCGACGTCTCAACCAATCGATAAATTACAACGGGTTTGAAGTGTGCTGAAAAACTGTAGAAACGTAACAAAAACAAATTTTTTCCTCAAATAGTCCAACAGTAATTAATTTGCTGTATGAATAAGTGGAAGACCCCTTCATGTCTTATTACAACATTTTCTGCTTAGCTTTGATGGCTTGTAGTTTTAAGAAAATGAATGAAATTTCAAAGCTGTTTCAACACTATAAATTTTTATTATCTCCCTGTACCCAATTAAGTTTAATTTTGTCTCGACATCGTCTATTGCTTTCTGTAGGAAAATTCATACTTATACGAGGGTCATTACTGCAATTAAATTTTAGAATTTCCAGTGTTAGACAGATATTCCATTAGTTTCCGCTTCCCAGTTAATTCGTCATGCCTTTGAAAAGCAATAACTTTGACATTAAACTTTATGTTTTATAGAGAACAAATTAGTTTTGATTTGTTGATCTGTACTACAATTTATACTTTGGTCATTTGTGATTCAGTTACAGTTGTTCCTAATTAGTATCCCATAATGTAATTAATTACAACAGTGTCATTAACAGACAAACAGTTAAACAGTGGAATAATATTTCATTGTTTAGCATTTAATATTAGTTTTGATATAAATGCTTTAATTGAAATACAATTTTTATTAATACATTAATATTCATGTAACTTTTGTATAATCAAAATTAACTCTGTTCTACAAGCTATCAAACTAAGAAACTATTATCCAAAAACAAAGAAGTTGAATCGTCAGTTTAATTTTAGGACATTTTCAGTATTCAAGGGCAATGTTTCTTCTTAATAAGGAATTAAAAAAATGTATGCCCTATTTCCTCACTAAACACATAATAATAAAAACTCCGGATTTTGCCACAAGTCGTAAAAATATTTCGTCAACAACGTTAGTATCATCAGAATCAAAGTTGAAAGTTTCGATTTTATGATTGTGTGACTGATAATTCTTGAATAAATTAAATAAAAAATTAAGAATGAAATTTGACACAAATGCTTGAACAATTTGACTTCTATATTCAAGAAGCAACTGTGAAAAAAAGAAAATGTAATTCTGCAAAAACTCTTGAAATGAAAATGGAAATCGATGAAAGTCCAGGAACAATGTTAAATCATTTTTTTATAATTTCTTTAAACGCAACATGTGTCAGTTGAGTGTTGTTTACTGTGTTTCTCTTTGTAATGATGGCTTTAGTTGAAGTATTTAATGTTGTTGATACTATTAAGTATAAGGTAATATTAGCTGGAGATTTTAATGTCAAGTTTGATAAGCATGATCCACTAAAAGATAGGTTACTTGACTTTATGCATGGTTTTGGTCTTTATCCTATTGTAAATTTTCCAACCAGAAATGATGTTCGCCTGGATAATGTATTCACTAACTTAGAAGCAACACTATATAAAGTTAATCCTGTACATCCATGTTCGTCAGATCACACAGGTATTCGGTGTGAACTCCATTTTTGTATGAACACAGTAAATGTAACTTATAACAAAATTCGACCTTTAACATATGTAGGTCAAATACAATTGTATAGATACATATCTGGGGTTGACTGGAGTTTCATAGACTCCTATGACATTGACATAAATTCCAAGTTTTCTAAATTTATAGAAATAATTAGATATCATGTAGATATGTCATTTCCAACCCAATTGATTAAGATTACTGGAAACAAATATAAAATAAATTGGTTTGACGCAGAACTAGCAGAAATGCGCAATACACTGCAATATCTGGTAAATCTTGACAAAATACTAAAGTCTGAGGGGTCTAGGAAAGTAAAAAATAATTTTCGACAATTATATCGAGATAAAATCAAAACTAAAAAAATGTACTATAATGAAAAAGCTATTCTATCAGCTAGTAGCAAAAGCAAAGCAATGTGGAAGGTAATCGATCAATATCGGAATAAAACAAATAATGTAGATCATAATACCAATCATGTGATATCTTGTGATAATTTTAATAGTTTTTTTACTAATATAGCTTCCTATATTGTAGAGGAAGGAAAAACTAAGAACTCCAACTGTGATATTAACTTACAATCCAACTGTGATATGTCCTGTGATATATGTAATTTTTCTAGATATTCGTCTGTGAATTGTTTATCAAATGTAAATAGTTTCAATTTTGAACAAGTATCTTGTGTAAAGGTTCGGGAGGCAATTGAGAGTTTAAAAAATACAAACTCATGCGATATCTTTGAATTTAATATCAAAATTCTTAAATCTATTAAAAATATTATTATAAGTCCTTTGACTAAACTCATTAATTTATGTATTGTAAATTCAGTGTTTCCTGACTGTTTGAAAACAGCTGTTGTGATACCCATATACAAAAAAGGAAATAAGAACGATCCTTCCAATTACCGACCTATTGCGCTTCTCCCTATATTTGGAAAAATATTAGAAAGAATACTTCACAATCAACTTTACGATCATTTTGAGAGCAATAAATTATTTTGTGTAAGTCAGTATGGCTTTAGAAAAAACCGATCCACTACTGGAGCAGTTCAGGATCTAATTAAGTTTTTAACATCATGTTTTGAAGAAGAACAAATTGGCATAGTTTCATTCTTGGACTTGTCTAAAGCCTTTGATTGTGTTTCACATAATATCCTATTAAACAAAATGAGTGCATATAATATAGATCTCCGAAGTATAAATCTTATAAAATCGTATCTCAGCAACAGATCACAGGTTGTCAAGATAAATGACAAAATGTCCCACAGACTTTCAATAGAAAGAGGTGTGCCTCAAGGTTCCATCCTCGGCCCACTGCTATTTCTAGTGTTCATAAATGACTTACCGAATCACTTAAATTCGAACTCAGTTCTTTATGCCGATGATACAACCTTAATGAATAAAGCAACCTCTTTACCAACTGTTGTCCATTTGAGTAAAAACACATATTCGAAAGCTTGGAACTGGTTTCATAGGAATGAATTATGCTTGAATTTCGATAAATCTGTAAATATGCTCTTTACCTTAAAAAAGGTAGATAATAATAATTATGACGACTCAGTAAAATTTCTAGGATTATATATTGACTCGAAGTTGAATTGGGGTATTCACGGCGAAATGATTGCTAGCAAAATGTCAAAAGGAATATTTCTTTTACGAAATCTAAAAGATCGAGTACCACCTAAAATACTGCGGGTAGCGTATTTTGCACTTTGTGAATCACATATTATGTATGGGAATCAGATTTGGGGACATTCTGTTATAAGACATCGCATCTTTGGTTTGCAACGTAGGGCAATCAGGATAATTGCTGGGCTCAAATATAGGGAGAATTGCAAAATGGCTTACACTGAACTTAGTATACTCACATTTCCATGTTTATATATTCTCAATTGTCTTTTGGATGTTAGGAGAAATATGGTAGCTTATAAATATCATGGCGACGTACACAATCATAATACTCGTCAGAAAGATCTTCTTTACACGAAAAGATTAAGAGTAAGTAAATCGAGAACAGGACTTGACTATTATGGTATAAAGTTTTATAATAAATTACCTGTTGCTGTTCAAAAACTAGATTTAACAACCTTTAAAGATACTGTAAAGTCATTTTTAATATCTAAAGCTTACTATGACACTAGTGAATTTTTATTAGATCCTACTGTTGTTTTCATGTAGTGTTCTCAATTATGTAAACTTGACATGTACAAAGCTGTATAGCATTATATGTACCAATAAAAATTATTATTATTATTATTATTATTTAATTATTAATGTGAACGTTAAAATAGACTTATTTTAAAAGGTTAGTAAATATATTTAGTTCAGATAGGTGTAATGAATTTTCTTTAAAATGTCTACATACACTAGTCCTTTGAACAGATAAACCATTGAACGAAACAAAACACTGGAATAATATTTTAGCATTTAGCATTTAATGTTAGTGAAAATTTACGTTTATCCGTTGTGGTTTACTTTAATATTTATGCAGCTTTTGTATAATCGAAATACAGGGCTTTCATTAATAATAAGTGTAACATCCAAGTGGGTGCCGCTTCTTTTGGAGTGTGTAACTACAGCTATTTCCATGGCAACGAGATTACGTATTCACTAGATTAATCAAAGCATTAAAAATGTCTACCATTATTAAGAAGTGGCAAATTTGCAACATTTTTAAATTTCATAGGTCACTGAATGTACGAGACATTTATGAAATCCCTGCATAAATCCCAGTGACTATTAATGCTTGAGATTTTTTTGTCGGGTTGGCCACATATTTAAAATCTTATGATAACATACCTGAAATTGAAATTTTGGGCACTAATTCAGTCGCTGTCATCTTCTTATTGGTTTTTTAGTAGGCGCGCCTATGTCAAAATTGGCAGCTGTGAATTGACAATAACTCAGAACTGCCAACACAAAAATTTGCTTCAATCATTAATAGTCTCCCGTATTATCAAGATTTCATTCGGTGTTCTAACTACCAAACTAGGATGCTATTATTCAAAAACAAAGATACTGAAGTATCACTTTAATTTTAGGAAAGTTTCAATATTGCTATGCTACTGTTTGCGTTAATAAAGAATTAAAAAAATGCATGCATTAGTACCCCCCTGAACACAAAAGAATAAAAATAATATCCATTAAAAAACATGTTTCGTTGACGTCACAAATCAAACAATTTTAAAGTTGCTCCTGGAATGTAACCAGTGTAAAAACTGAATTGTCTTGTTTAAGCGTTTTTGTCAATTTTATTTCTGAATTTTTTGTCGGCTGTTAAAGTGACGGCTGGCTTTACACATCCGCACCGCAAAAAAGATGAACCGAAATTTCAATTGCTTTATTTATTAAATTTCCACGTCGCAATTTAGTCGTTGTCACTACGTAGTTTTTCCGTTGCGTCAATTTGCCAACGTGGGTACTTTTATGCGAAATGGCATGAATACTTGAAAGAAAAATTAATAAAAATGATGTGTTCTGGGCAAACGCGTGGTCCGCTTTAATCGGTTCATATGAGAACGATATAAAAAAGAAAAACAATAAAACAAATACATTATGAGTCGATACTCAAGACGAACAAAAATACGTAAAAAGAAAGAAGGAAAGAGAGCAGCATGTGAAATGTGAACTGTCTATAATAATAAGTGACGTATTGTTAGTGAAGGCTGGTGACTGTACTACCAAAACTGCAATATTGGCGAGCGACCATCAGCTGTTGTCGCTGGGCAGTGGGCGCAGTGGGACAGGGAAAGTGGCTGCCACAGTCCTCTGAGTAGCTAGCCGTGGACAGGCACTTGTGTAGTTTGCGAGTACCTTGCGATCGAGAGCGACGGGGAGGATCTGGGCGCGCTCGACCTGTGCTGGAGACGGGACACGTCGAGGCCGGGCTGCACACGCCGTTTATCTACCCAAACCCAGCACTTACTCTCCGAGACAAGAATAAGAAAGGAGTTGCGAGACCGGCAAAGGCATCTTTCGCGAAAGAACATCGTGTCGGAGATGCGATGGCCGGCTTCGCGAGATCAAGTAAAAACGGTGGAGCATGAAGTGAATCTAGACGAGTACAAGCAGCGCATCCCGCTCTAGGGGTTGGCGTGAGCTAAGCACTATCGGAGGGCAGGGACTACGCTAGACTACGTCTCCTACCCAGTATATCGAAGCAGCTGCCGTCCTCGTCCTTCAACACAAACCAAAGCCACTGTGAACAAAGTCACAAACCCACCAATGCCCGCTGAAATAAAGCGTTAGTCATCAAATACAGACACGTTCACGGTGGGACGTGTGGTTAACAAAACAAGTAAAGCAACTCAGCAAATAAGCGATCAAATCAAACACAAACTGGTATCGTGGTGTAGGCTCGGTCGGCTAGTCTCTACCAAATATCGTTACTCGGCTAACTACTCACACATTCCTACCACTAATGTCAATGTAATAAGAGTTATATATATAGATTATGAGAAAAAACCATCCAGATACGCAGGCATATCTAAAGAATCGATCAAAATCGACGAGTTAATCGAGGTACGGGATCGGGGAAGGTCGTAAAAGGGCCACCTTCTAAAGGTGAGACAGAGTTGAAACTTACTGAAACGCCTCATCAGATTCCCGGTAAACGACGGCTGCGGGCTGACCACGCTCTCCTCCCTGTCTCTCAGATCTTTCAGAGACTGAACCTCAGGTCTCTGAAATTTGATATTTGGTACAGATAACAGTCTTTGGTCTCTCTTATCTGGGTTCTTTTTCTTTACGTGTCTTGGTGGTCTTACGGGACACCCGTCTTCGTCCACCAAGTCCAAGTTATCGGGTCTCATCGCGAAACCCACTTTTCTGCGATTATCGACTTCGTATTGGGTCCCTACCGAACCCACCAAGAAAGGTGTGTCGCTGTCTTCTCCCGGAGAAAACTGTATCTCGGCCGGAAATTCTTCGTATACGTCTTTTTGGTCCTCTTTACCAAGAGAAAGCGTCAGATCTATGACGCTCTGATTGTCTATAACCGTATTCTCGTCGGAATCCGGGGATGATTTACTATCGTCTAAATTGTCGGGTTCGGGCGATACGTCCGAGTAGAAAATCGAATTTCTTTTTTCCTTCAACGGATTCTTAATCTTAATGTCGACCTTTGATAACTGTCTCTTAAGGTTGAAACCCTTCCAGGTAGAGGATTTTCGGCGAGTGGCGGCTTGGGGGATCGGGACGGCTTTTTCCTCTTCTACAGCTTCGGAAGCTTGTTCGACAGGGGTGGGGCAGGGGCACAGGGAATAGGGACTTTCCGGGGATCTTCCCATCTACAGGCATGCACAGGCCCGGGTAAACAGAAAGCAGAGGTTTTCATCAGCAACTTATGGTAAACAGCAAAATAGGATAACTGTTAAGGTGCTGTCAAATGGCAGTGCAATCACGCCTATAGCTCAGAGAAAACTAACACTTCCTGGCGCATGTACTGTAACTGCACGGTATCTTAAACAGCAATTCTATATGGTTAATAGTCGGATTGTGATTCATGTGATGGCAGAAATGTGACCGTTATCGTATCGTCATGCCAATGAGTTGACGTGTTAGTGGTTTTAATTTTTATCATAATACTGACCTGGTCTATGCTAGGGCTGCGAGGCTGCCTATCGTCCCGATCCGGGTTCATTGGAAGAATGTCGGCGACGCTGGCCACGCCCTTCTTCGGACTCCTGGGGACTCTGGAGTATGGATCCTGGGCGCCGTACAGATCGGGACTGCCGACATTTAAAAGGCAAACTTTCTGTTCTACATCTATTATCACAATTCCCGCTTCGTTACCGTAAGCCATCCTGAAGAAATAAATACCCTGTTTTGCCTAAACCGAAATTAAAGCGGAAAAACAACAGCGCTCTTGAAACGAAAGCACACTTAATATGTTATGCAATGACGCATTTAGAGGGTAGTCGCTTAGGGCTGTTGTCTTTCCGTAAGACTTCCTAAATATAGCATCACAAAACGGTATTGTGCTACGAGCACGCACAATTCGTGACGTCTTAAACTTACAGTCCGTATGAACTATTTATTGTAAGCGCAGTAATATGGCTCGGAGGTTCTCCATTGTTCCAAGGGGTTAAACAAACTAATTGTGCTTGGAAACCGGGAAGTTTCTTTTGGGCACCGACACGAACCTTAAGCGTGGGTGTATCCTGCAAGTCAAGCCCGTCAAATCAAGCAATCATCTCAAACCGATCGAAAATACTTTTTTATTGTCGAGATCCAGCATATCTAGCCTATTTCCCGAGCCAGCCGATCCGGGTCCGGAAAATTGGCAATCCGGCGAAATTTCCCCTTCCTCAGGAACTTCGTAAACTATAGGAATCTCCAATACCTGCCAACATGCTATTTACAATGCAAATCCTCGGCGCTTCACCTAATCACGTACGGTAACTTCGTCGTTACTCTCCGACTTCTTATACGTGAATAAAATCACGTGGCTCGAAGCCCCCGCCACGCACAGCTTCCTCGACTCGGGACAAAGAGAGATAATCTCGATCGCGAACGGATCCTCCTCGTTATCCATCGATCTCGCCCTTTGTTTCTCGAAGATTTTCGCCGTTTTCAGCTTGTATAAGACCTGGAGAGTGCCGGCACTCCCGTCCCAGAACTTTATGCTCCCATCAGCGTGCCTGCAATCACCCCGTCGATTCAATTCGGCCGCCGATTAAGACAAACCTACCCTGTGAGGATAATTTCGCTGTAGCTGCAAGACTGGGCCGACCACGTACCGCCGCTGATCGGCCAGTCCATGTCGGAGAAACCTTGCCTTTTCGTCGCGCTCGCCCTACCGACCGAATAGAATGCTGGGATCAGATCGGCAGGGCAGTCCGCTAAGTAACTGACACACGTCACGGGCGACTCGTGAATGTCCATGGGGTATGGGTTCTCCAAGCAAGGAAATCCGGCCGTTTGTAAGTCCATTACTACTAAGTCGTTCTGAAGTAAAGCTATTATTGCGTAGGGTTCCTGCATTTCTGAAAAACACAATTCCTCGAAAACTAACAAGGACAGACTGCACAATAGAGTAGACGAAAGTATTACGAAAAGGACCGAAAAAACTGTTTAACTTTGAACATTCTGAAAGTTTTCGCACAATAAAAGGCTGGAGGCGGATTACTCGGGACCCGGATTGTCCCTTTGAGCGGAATTTCCATGTTACTGCTTAGTGGTCAGTATACTAAAAAACTAGTCAAAAAAAGTTTAGACAATACTTCTTTCGGCCTCTGAAGCGTGATATATCTGCATATCAAGGCGTATTCTTTTCATAAATCTTGGCGAGAAAAACTAGACCAACTTTTCTCAACACTTTGTTACGCAATTCCATTGGACAATAATTTGTAAGTAATTCGTGGTTCTAGCACTCGTTGAAAACAAGCGGTACGTGTATGAGACAAAAAGAAATTTATATTTTTCGATATACTAACCTGTGGGAAGGACATGGAAATTCACCTTAGAATACTTTCAGAAACTATACAAATTAATCTAACAATCCGAACAGACATTGAAAACATTTGTTTTTGTTTATTATTCTAATAAATAAAAAATGTAGGTATAGGAATGGGTTGAGCGTTTTCCGAAATGCTGGATGCGCCGGGCTAATCATAATTGAATTGTTGCTTACCACTAGAGTAGAAAGATTCACTCAAGGTAATAAAATCAACAACGTTACTTTCCATTTCTAACACAGTGGTAGTTTTATTATGTACAACAGTAATGCTAGGTGTCCTGCCGGCTTGGTCGTAAGGCATTCCACCCGAAAATATCACATATGCTTCCCTGAAATTGATAAGTCAAGCAGAATATTAAAAGAATACAACCCCGTATTTTATTCGCAAAATTACCCCATCCTTGATGACTTCCATTCTACTTTATTTATAGGTTTACATTGTTCCGATTTGCCGTCTTTATTAACTTTCGCTGAAAACGCAATACTGTGAAATTTAGGTCCGCAACACAAAATATAAAGACGCACCATGAGGTTGGGAAATACAAAGGTATTTCGTTCTGTCCTTAATACTCCATGTGGTTAATGTCCCATCGACATGCGAACACATGAACTGTTTGCCTTCGTGGTGCCACGCTATACTCTTTAATTCGGTTGTTTGCCACCTCACTTCAGCCGTTTTATTCCTCAAATCCCACAGCACAATTTGACCGCTTTCGTAACCTATCAATAACTGCAAGAGTTAAAAAAATTACTTGTGGGAAGGTAGCTGATGACATGCAACTGTTACCTTACTGGCATCTAAAGGGTTATCACTTAAATGGACTATAGAGCCGGGGTGCGTTTTTCGTGAACTAAAAAGGCACACGCTGTAGAATTAAGAGTCACTTACATTGAGGCTGCAGTCGAAATCTAGTCAATAAAGTATCGGTTGAAGCGTCAAGCGCTTGACGTTTTCTTAGCGCAAATCAAAAATGTATATTTCATATATTCTTTTTGAAGACTTAACTTTTTCACGATTTAATATAAATAAAAAATGTCAGTTTGAATTAAAGTTGGCAGACAAGAAAAGAACAATCCCTGTGATATATTGTGGATAAGAGAAAACAATATGGATGAAATATGAATAAAAATAAAACATTCCTTGAAAAAAACAAATCAATGACTCTCAAGGTGCCATCTGTGGCGTCTACTGGTAAGTAAGCATAACTTTGTTACTTTAGGTTTCCATTTCTTTTATTAAATAAATTTTATCACATTTCAAGACCACACATTCTGGTAATCTATTTCTTTTTTAGGGAGTGTGTTCAGCGACAGGTAAAGTCATAAAGTCCTCACTCATAATCAAATAGAAGTCGGCTGTCAACGGATTTTTTTTCTTGGAAACAGATTGCTTTCTTAATTTCAATAAAAAGATTACTGGTAATGACACTGCCATTGTCGTCCAAGAGAAAACATACAATAACGCTGAACGACTGGAGTATAAAAAGGGTTCCAGGTTTTAATTTCCAGGTTATAGCTCGCCTGTGGTAAAAGCTAAATTAACTAATACAAAAGAATGAGTTAACTATGATCTCCCTCTCTAATTTAAAACTTTACATTAACGGAAAAATGTAAACGTTTTCGAATTAAAAAAATTCTATTCTTTCGAATTTTTCATTTTGCATCAGTGAGACAACAATATATCAATCGATACAAATTTTAACTGTAAGTATCCATTGTATAAACTCCCGAACTACTACTAGTAAACGATGGTGTTTGTATGACTTTGACAATTTCCTACAACATTATTCGCAGAAGACAATCGGTATGCTAATAAAGCTCGATTGTAAAAATTTTTCTTTCAGAATTTCTTTGTTCTAACCGAGTTTGATGGTATCTTGATGATCCATTTAAGGTGATATCCTGCACAGGGAAATTTCGACTGCAGCATTTCCTAAAAGGGGAAATTGGTTGTGGCGCACTCACACTTCTATCGCTTTGTTCCAGTTAATGATGTATCCCGACAAAACGAAGCTTTCTATGTGGACCACATGGACATTACCTCGTTCTGTTCCCACGTAAAGCCATTTAGATTGCAGTGGCAAGTGCATGCAGGTGATCCTGACACAACAAAAGAATTAGACGTTAAAGAGCTTAATTTGAAACGAGTGAATATGCTATATTTTATAAAATAGGAGTTCGTTGCAGGAATTTCATTCACGTTTTATGCAAATCCTAAGTACGTGTTGAGAGCAAACGATATTTCGAAATATAAAAACAGAACTGGTTGAAAGAGTAATTTTTTATAATTAAGTGTCGGGAAGAGCTTGAAATTATATTCTATAAATCTCTCTGACTTCTATAAAAGACGCTGCGAACTACTTGCATAAAGACTTTAAAATATATGACAGCTGTGCGCTGTAATAAAATTGCTTTTCAGCACTAACACTTTTTCGAGCAATTAAAACTTCCAAGTAATTGCTCAAGTTTACATGTCTTCAATTTATGACGTAAAATTTAAATGTAAATTAAATCTGAGTTGAATTTTCGGATTTAGTGGTAGGTGTAGGCTTCGCGTTAAAATCATTTCCCATATAGAAAGCACGGGATAATTCCTTTTAATTTATTGTCGAAGGCTTAAAGTGAAATTATTATTGTAAGCGAAAGATTAAATTTCGATTAGCTGCGATGAGGGAGACGTTCAAAGCCCCTCCAGGCATTATCACGAAGATCCTTTCAATAGAATTAATCACTATAAATGCCATAAAATCTCAAACAAAAGTATCGGTATTTACAAATTGGTGTTTTTCAGGATATTTTGCAAAGAAAAGCTCTTACGAACACAGTCGAATGGGAATTCTAAAGGCCATATAAAGAAGACATTAGCGTTGCACAGCAGTCTCATTAAAACTTTAAATGGGCCAGACCGTCTTAAAAACGAGAGTGCCTTTGAATATCTGGGATTATTAACCATAACTTATTTTAGGTTGTTCGAAAATGTGCAATTAAGTCGTGTATTAAAAGTTTTGCCCCCATATAGAAGTTTTATAAAACGAAGGTTCCAGGACAGATAAGATTAAAAGTTGCTGGCATTACGTAACTTAAAAATAGTAATTAAACTGCGATAATTACCAAACTGATAATGCACACTGTACTGTTTCAGTAGATATATATTACATCATATATTACTATTTTCTGTATAACATACTATCTTTAGTTAGATAGTTTTCAGTTTCTGCGCTGTTGCCAAATTGTACAGTTAATTATTTATTAATGTATACATAGTATAACCTGTTTCTTGGTTTAAGTTCAAGTTATATTTTGTTATTGTGGTATGATGCAGGATGACGTCTGTTAGCATTTATCGTCAGTCAGTTGAGTGAAACATGTCAACTGAGAATTCTACGCAACCAGAAGAATGGTTGTTTTGGGAATCTCAGTGTCTTCAGTAGCATTTAATACACTACAAATTTCAGCCGCCGCCACAAACGTTCTGAGCGCTGTATAGTCTTGCTACGTTTCTCATTGATCCCTAACGTGTTGCTTCTATTCCCAAACGTAAAAAATTCGAGACCTTGCATTTCGAACTGCGTCGTTTCGACAGTCCCAAAGCGGAAATAAAGTGTATAAGTAAAAACTATTTAAACAATCCATTCACGTCGAAAATTTTAATCTCCTGGAGTGTCCCAGCTCTCCACGTAAAAAATCAGCACTTAATGAAAATATAAATAATTAATACTCACTTCTCCTTTTGAAACTTGAGGCTCTGAACAATCTGAGGAACTTTCTGCCTGAAATTCCAGAGGTGGAGAACATCATCTGCCGTTGCGGAAACTAACGCTCCTTCATTAACAAGAAACTGTAAGTGAAGGATGGCTGCGGACCCTGGAGGACCATCCATGTCATGTCGGACGTGAATGTCGACGCCTGGTTGGCCGAGTCTACATTTTAGTTAAGGAGGGTACAAAATGGGAGTCTGTTGTTGCAATACGAGAACTGCTGTAATAAACTGCAAATCTGAAGTAAATGGATTACGGTGATTAATCAAAAAGCTTGATGGTCGGCTTCCACTGGCTTAGAGTGTGCAAATGGGTAATCAGAATAGTTTGTTACTACACTTCACCGCAAAATTGTGAAATAGAAAACACCTTCTGTTGTACAAAGAAACTTTATTACTGAAGCTTACACCGAGAAAATCAGTCTCTGGCTTTCTCTCGGGTAACTCAACTGCTATTAGTTCACAAAAAAACCTGGACTCGTCTATGAATACCACACGTCTCAAGCCTTCCATATCCCGGTTTATATGCCACCACAAACTCTCTAAATTAGCCTTTCAGTGAACTCGTTTCATAGGTGGTCCAGTGGCTGCCTGGTCGATAATTCTTTGTTCAACTTGGCGGACTGTTTTCGTATATCTCCGTACCTACGTCAAGGTGTTTTGACATTAACAGGAATTTAACATTTTCAAGTTTGAACAGATTTGTACAAATCAATCGCGCGTTTAAATTGAAACTCGTTTAACAGCATTTTTGACGACGAATCGTATCATTATTATGTTAATATACATTGGCAGGAAGATGCGTTTAATTTTCAATTCTTGAGTGTGAAATCAAATTTCAAGCAGTGTTTTGTCATTGCAGATAAGCAATTATGCCTAGGAATAAATTTAGGTGGATTGAAGCGCACAAAACTCGAAATTAAAATGAAAACTGAAAGTGACGAGGTTCAAATTGGTACATATTTTTGTGTTACACACTTTGTAATAAATATTCTTTAAATTGTAACACGAGGTACAGGATGATTCATACAAAATTCCGCGGATATAATAAACTGAAATATTGAAAGTCCATTATCGTTAATGTTTTTAGTTTCAAGTGGAAAGCTTTTTCTATTTTCTTTTTCGCTAATGAAAAAAAATATGAAATTTTCATGAGTTGGGGAGAAAAACAATTACAGAAAAAATAAAACGTCTTTTCTTTGTTTTTTTAGACTTCTCCGTGAGGATCCGTATATAGTTTTCAGAATTACTAATTTAAATACGTATTTATTACGTCTAGTTATATTAACAAAATTAGATGTCAAATTGTTTATTAATAATAATAGTTATATGGACATTTTAAACAGCAAATTATAATCAGACGTTGGAGAAACGTTTTATTGTGGGACAACACGCCGACATTTCAGGTGTAGCAGTCGGAAGCAGCTTTGAGCTTAGAACTCGCTTCAGATAAATAATCGAGAAAAAGGGTAAAAAAATGGGATGGGCAATTACCTTGGGGTAACTATAACGTCAAACAATGAAGGGAGTTCGTTATTAATGTTATTCATTATAAATCAGTCATTAATATTTCACAAGTTATATCCACACGAGATAACATAAGTAAGGTTATGCCCGGTAGAAAATACACAAAATAAACAATCATCTCAGGGATGAATATGAAAGTAATCCGTAAATATTAAAACCTGGTCATTAATTAATTGTTCAGGGAAGAGGAAAGTGAGTGATGTAGATCTTCCAGTGTATATTTTGTTAACGTATGTACATGTGTTTTTTGTTGAATTCTTAAACCATTGACGATACCCTAGAGACTCGGTTTTTAGGTATAATAAACTTAAATACACACAAGAAAGATACGAGAGGAGAATCTATAGTATAATATTTGTAACGTTCCTGGAAAATGGAACACCTACAATATTTTTATTTTTGATGATTTAATGACTCTCTTAATTTTCATTTCAAGCGAGTGCCATTCTAATCTTACCCTTGTTCCGGTCCTGAAAGCAGAATAGTCTAAACAAAAATACCAGAATGTGACTTTTTAAGGTCGATCCGACGAATGGCTACTTTCATGTTTTCTCGACGTTTGATGACTCTTTGAGTACGAAAAAGTAGGTCTCGCGTTTCCGTCTGTTTTTCGTATGTGTCAATTTTTATTAGACAGATAATCTCCGAAACTACTGAACGATTGTCGCCAAATTTTATGTGTAGATGGTAAAACGTTAATAAAAATTTGACTAATCATTGCCATCAACAATGGGATGGCGTCATCTCCAAAATTTACAATAGTAAATGTAACTTAAATTTTATAGATTAAGATACTCCTGCAATTATAGTTTATGAATCGGTGTTGAATTCTTACCTAGATATCCAAATTTTCGGAAAAAAAATCTAAATTGAATAACAATATTTTGCAATTTAACTTTGAAATTTGTTATACTGAATGCAGTGAAATCTTGCATCATAAGCATTGTAAGTTATTATTTACATTTATCCGTTTATCTTCTTCCAAAAATTGATGACGTCACCTACAAATTTTGCCGAATAAATTATATCTAAAATATATAAAATATTATGAATATTTATCTGACTGTCATTTATCAATGCAATCAAATTACTTATATAGGGTGACTAAAAAAAAATGAATGAAGCAATTTATTTATTATTTTATTGATCAAATTAAGAACCACTCACCCCCTTTCTTTGAAAATTTGAGTATACAATACCGTTATTATTGGTATTACATTGCACCTATTCAACTGATATATCTATCCTTTATCAACTGTTGATGAAGTCGTCACAAAATTTTATGGAAAAACTCACATGAAACATAACTACATATCTCATGATTCTTTACCATACTTTAAAAGTACACATATATCTTTATTTTAATTTATATAGGTTATAATAAAAAAATTAAACTTGCAAAATGAAATTTTATAACTTTTCGAAGAATCTGTATTTGTTCGTCTATATTTCAGGGGCGAGGAAAATTCTGTCTAAATGACTTTAGACCAATTTTTACTTCCCGAGCGTATTCTCTGAAACTGCTTGACCGATTGTTGTCAAATTTTGCATATGTATTAGAAATATCATGTAAATGGTTAAATGCTAACCAAAATTTGGCTAATCATCTCCACCAACAATTTGATGACGTCATTTCAATGAATGGTATACTTGTAGTGTACAAATCCGCTTTCAGTTTTTTCGCTAAACGTTCAAATTTTCGCAAAAACATTTGCAAGGTATAATAACGTTTTATTCCCAACACGGTTTATACGTCTCCGTGGCGCAGTGGGTGTATCGGAGAGAACGACGACCAGCGGTACTGCGATTGTAGGTTCGATGCCGAACTTGGCTCTTTACTTTTTTTTTCTTGCATTACTATAACGCTATAACTACTTTTCTTTTGTGCTGTGACTAGAATTACCCATATTGATGACGTCATCACAAATTTTTTATTGGTCAAATTAAGAACGAGTTACCCCATCTTCTCGAAAATGTGAAGAATACGCACGTTTTTATGTAATAATGATGAAATAAGAATTATAATATTCAAAACATTTTGTTCCACTGTGGTTTAATTAATAATTTTCTAATACAGTCTTTAAATGTATAAACATAAACAATCGAAGTTAAGTATGTATAATAATACTTGGTTATTTGCTTTGAATATATTTTATATTGTCCGTATGTCTGCGGACGGCACCCCCTTGGAATTTGCGCCCCCGCGGCGTATGGGGTTCGAGGTGTCATTTACACCACTGCCTTTTACGATATAATGGTTATTAAAAAAAATTGTAAATATAATTTTTCAAAGAAGAATGATTTGTTGGACTGTACTTCAAGGCCGAGGGAAGTTCTGTCGAAGTAACCTTGCACCAATTTTTTAAAGTTCTAATGAAGAATTGTTATGATGTGATTTGGTTACAGAGAGACGTCATGAAATTCGTCTTATCATTGTGCTATATCTGAAATTTGTTTGAATAATTTCACAACCAGTACAAAATTTGGGTATTAAAAATTTGAAACCGCTGCAGTCTTCTTTGTTTTTTACACTTTTATCACTATACCAAATTCATGATTTGTAATTTGGCACAAGCATACAATACGTATAACAAATAATAATAATCGATGTATCATATTTGCTCAATTAAGGACAGTTATAATTTTTGTACACGTTTTTCACATCAAATCGTAATGTGTCTGTATATATACAAAAATATATTATATTTTGCCTCTTTTTTTTTAATATACATAGCCATCTTCTCACAACATGAAACTTAAAGCATGGTTAAAATGGTACATTTTTGCAAGGTGATATTTGATATTTCCTTATACAAACTTTCCATTTTAAACATGTTTTAAGTTCCATGAAGTGAAAAGAAGTCTACACATATTAAAACAAAAAGGCAAAATGTATGCCCGCCCACCCGCCTCATCTCAATTGTAATGATTTTTTTATTCGCAGTGGACCAAGAGGGCGGAGTTTAACTGCAAAATTCATTTTTTTTTACAAGGAATTAAAAACACGTTTTTGAGTATCGTGTGTTCAAAGAAAACTATGTAAAACAGGCAAAATATAAATCATGCAATTAAACCCCGCCCCTCGATCTGACAACGAATGAAAAATTCATCACAATTGAGAGTTGAGATTGGGCGGGTATGGGTGGGGACTCATTTTTGGCTTTATTTTTTTCTTAATATACATAGTATTCTCTGAACAACACGATACTCAAAAACATGTTGTTAATTTTTCGTAAAGAAATAAGGATTTTGCAGTTAAGCTCCGCCCCCCTTGGCTCACGATGAATAAAAAAAATCACCACAATTGAGATAGGGCGGGTGGGCGGGGCTATATTTTTCCTTTTTGTCTTAATATGTGTAGTAAACTTCAATCTATAGCTGCACAGGGTATAGGAAATTAAACGCAGATTCTTGTGGTTAAAATTATTTCTAACATATTCCTTGGTGTATTGAGTAAGTTGTAGACCATGCCGGCATTTGTTCTTCGCCTATGAGAGCCCCTAACATAGGCATCTTCTCTAGTGTGGTATGAAAATTGATTTCTCTAGGGCTTACTTGACCTCCTTGTGTAATTCTCTAAAGGTACTACAACTTTTGTAAACATTACTGCTTGAAAATTAATAGTGCGCTAGGGGT